AAGCTGACTAGAGTTTAGCGATGTCAATGCCAGTAGATGTCAGAAATATTTTTAAATACTGCCATTAGACTGCCCAACGAAAGATCGCGACACACATCACTCACGATATCAATTATTAACTGATACTACCTCACTTTTTTAATACTCATTTATGACTGGCTTTCACGGAGATTATATTGTTAAACCATTTTCCCAATTGAAATTGGGATATTTTTCCATTTCTACCGCATTCTGCAATAATTATGGAAAGTAGAGAGGCCTTTTAGGCGGATCCAATATAATCCAGAGATTTGTTCCAGCAGAAGATCTGCATCTTAGACTTATGTGGTTGTTGATTTTTGACATCTGCGATCTGCATTTTGACCCTTTCGGCTATCTAGTTTAGGAGCTACCACAACTGCAGTTAATTGTGTAAACACCTGGAGGTTTGTAAGGTCAAAGCAGATAATATATGGTACATTCTTTAATGGAGTATTTATTCAGCACTGTTCCAAATTTACGCATTATTCGTCTTATGTAACTCGTGTACGTTATGTTAGTTATTGTTCGCCTCTGGTTTCTTAGCTTTTTATATATGTTTTATTACTTAGTAATAGTTTTATCATACGTCTTATATACACGCACAATGATATGTGACAGTTTTATTATATGTATATATTTATGTATGATCAATATAAGTGTATGTACCTATGAAATACTTTCAAGCAATTCTCTTACAATATTGTAAATTAAATCTTATCTTAAAAATTTGGAGTATATACTCAATATAATCGGTAATTAAATATATAATAATATCATTATATTATTATTAGTTCGGCGAATTAAAAGTATTTAATGTTAAAACAATAACCGAATGAATGCGGTTAAAGTTAACACATAAAGATATAGCAAAGCGAATATTTCAGGCTTTTACACAAATTTTTAACCCTCTTTTTCAGTCAGAAAACCTTACCAGATATAGACTTAGATTAATTATAATTAATCAAAATCGTGGTTCATCGTGGTAAATTAATGGCGAATTGGTTGTGTCCATCATGGAGCATTAGGAAAAAAAAATAATTAAGAAAGGTTATATGGTGCAATGTATCTTAGATATTTATAACATATTTGTTAAAAACCTTGCAGTTTTAAAAACAAATCCGTTATTGTTATTAGTCATCTCAATTTGGGATTTACCACGTTGTATCAGTAACATGGACAGAAAGTCGTCAATTATAACCTTCGCAATACTGGACCTTCGACGTAAATGTTAACATACTGGCAACCCCTTTAACCTTTTTTAGTGTAAAAGGTCATATGATGCTCTATAATTTTTTCCATAACGAATTTATGTTTACTCACAATTGACAACGCCTTTGACGATCTCATATTGGATTACAGGTATGAGTATATATTATTTTATTAATTACGGTGACTGTATTGCATAAAAGCTAAATCAGAGGTTTTAATCAATTTTAACCAATAACTACTTCTTTTTTTCAAAATGGATTGGAGTAAAATCAAAGCAAATAGTGTAGAGAATCAAATAACAATTACAATCTGTTTAGTAAAAATTATCAGCACTACATAAAAATAAGTACACATAATTGAAAAGGTTTGTCTTTTTAAAGTGGGATTCAAACACAGACGAATAAGAACTGTGATGATCCCTTACCTACTCTATGAATTTTACTAAATTGATATACGCAACCAAAACAACTTCTGCATTTCGATTAATTAACTATTTGTAATTGTAATATGACAGTTTTGAATTCATAAGTGACCTGATGACATTTTGACATGCACAACCCATCAAAAAGGTATTTATGAATGTAGTTAAGAATCAGGTTTAGTGCAAGCCAAGTAGTTTCTTAATTCGATTCTGCGGCAATTGTGTTCCATTCTTTGTGTCGTCAAGGAAGATTTTTACTTGTAGAGCCATGCGGTGCTTTTTTAATATATTAATAAGGTGAATATTAATGTGTTTAACTATTATTTTAATTATAAACTAAACTCTTGTTTAAATTCTCTACTACACATAAAAATAGTTAATATATATATATGGTTAAGTTAAGTGATACAATGTGAAACAGTAAGTGAAAATTTGCGAAAGCTTTTAAATACAACATATAATAAAATAGACGCGCTTTTAATTGTACTTGATATTAAAAGACGAAAGTGAGTTTGTTTGTGATGATTATGAAATTTTACTTATGTGATTTGTATGGTATAGAGGATATTTGAAAAGTGTTCCAAGTAGTTGATAAAAACAAGTTATTTATATATTAACCAAGATCGTTTCAGTTTTTATATTTTTGTGTAAAAAGTATGGGACAGCTATTATTTTTTCTGTTATTAACCGCAAAAATAGATGGTTTCATACCAATTTCATTTTCAAGGATTGATATTACGTCAATAGTCATAATTAGTACTTATACAAAAAAATATAGTTATATACAACTGGTACGGATTTAGTAGTTGAAAATTAACTTCTTAAATAATAATATTGTATAAGAATCAATATAAGATTATTTTAAATAAATGCCATTTGTGGTCGGCCTATTAGACGATAAATAAAGCTGTTATTTCAAGTTAAATCGTTTTTAATAAATAAAGTTCACGTGGTCAATTTACAGGTAATACTACTCATACCAAAATATTATCAAAATTCAAGAATTATGTGGAAAAAAATATGCTGTGGTTTCTATTCATGACGTCCGAGGGTATTCCCACAACAATCATTTCAAATAAATGTTTCTATATTTAACTTACTTCTGTTCTATTAATAAAATAATTATGGTGTCTTTGAACTATGACGTCGATGGTATGTTTATGAAACATCAAATGGTATTTTTCCATGATGCTTATCATTAAGTATATTTCATTAAATGATTTTGCAAAAAGTTATTTATATTGTTTAATGTAAAGCCGACTTCAAAGATTTTAATGAATGACAAAACTAATGACTGATCATTAAATAACGAATTTGCACAAGAATCATTATGCGACATAGCATTCGCATCCGCTTCTCCTTATCCTATTTATTTGTTGTAATATGTATTTCTCCATTCATCCCTATTCGCAGGCATCTCGTTATTCACTCCTTTTCTTGCCATATCGTCTTTCACATAGTCCACCCATCTCTTTTTCGGTCTTCCTCTGCCATTATAATCATCTTCATTCATGTATAACACTTTCTTGATAATATTCACTTCATTCCTACGTATTATATATTCATACCACGACAGACGATTGCTCTTCAACGTCTCCGATACTGGCGTTACTTTCATGCTTCCTCTAAAATATACCTTCTTTATCTTGTCTATTTGTCTCACCGTCCGTTCATGATCGTGGTTTTGTAAATTTTCGTATAAGTATTTATGAAGAATAGGGTGAGGGCAGAAAAGGGTTACAGCAGTTGCGCGATTTGGCATGGGGGGCCGGGGTTGCCTACTCATGCGTTATCGCTCTAGCGCAAGTCGCTAAGGAAGAACCACCTTCTGACCTAATTTTGAATATGGATCCACAATTGATTCCACATAAAAAAAGTATGCCTATATAGCGATCCTTCATAGAACCTCCTTTTGTGAAATCGCTTAAAAAACGATGATACCTTGACAACAGAATGATGAACACAGTAAACTTTTTTTTTTAAAAAAACATGCCTAACCTTATATAGACGTTGAATGTAATTCATATTTATTATTATACATTTACGTGAACTCAAACCTGAACTCTATAAAACACTGGATTCTCATTATTTATTGTCGTGCTTGGCACATTAGTGTAGTAAATACCTAACTATCCTATTCCGATGGCAACCAAGTATATATTATACATACATGTTTTCATGGCTATTAATAGTCAGAGGCTTTGTCAACTTTTTTTATGTATATTGAATATATGGCAGTCGTGGATAAAAGGTCATGCCGCAGTCAGCTTGCTTACTATTTCTCGAACATAAAAAATAAGACAACTACGTCATCGTGTAACGTTGGTAGCCCTCATGCGTTGCCATTCCAGAGGACAAAGGTGTCCTTACTCTATAATTTCACTGCCATATCTCATCCTTAAATCCGGAACTAAGTATTTTTTTTTTATTGGGTTGTTTGGGTTATTGTCAGATGTGTAGCACCTGTAGCACTGCGACCTTATAGATCTATTGTGCTCGCCTTTTTCAAAGTTCGCTACCTAGACCCGTCAGGGACAAGAATTGAAGGATATTCTTAGGAGCGATCGTTTTTATCTCCTCGGGAAATAGTGTAAACTTTCCAAAGGAGATATTTCGTTTATGCATGAGTGGGCTACAACCACATAGGATGTGAAGCGGCGTTTCCTCTTCAGTTTGGCAGAATCTGCAGATACTTGTCGTGCATAGTAAACTAAGTATACAAAGCAAGCTTCTTGACGATAAAATTTATTGAGATAGTACAATAATGATTGATATTCGTAACTAGCATGAGTAGTACTAATTAGTAGACCTCATTCTCAGGAATCAGGACCTACATTCTGAAAGACTATAGTACCCATAGGATAAGTAAAGTCATAATTTACTTTCCTTTCAGCGATTATATTATATCGCATAATTCTTATTTTATAACAATTGCATGCCCAACTACGGAGACAAAGAAACAATCTTATGCGACATTTATTTTACACTCTTAACAGTATTTTGAAATAATTATGGCATAATTTTAATATAACAAATCCGAAATTTCTCTATAGTACAAAACAAAAACAAAAGTATGTATGTAAAGCTTGTCTGGAAGAAATCCCTCATTTGGTATAGGTCAACCATTTAAAAGAATGAAACGTAGAAATTAATTGTATATTTATTTCTTGAGATCATTGTATCCTGTTACTTCAACCTGTTTTACTGTACAATAAAGTTAAACAAACTAATAATACTTATAAAACAAGATGTTTAACCAAGCGGCTATAAGTGCGATAGTAGTACCCACGCATATGATTCGATAAAAAGCTAATTACTATGAAATAAACGACTAATAATCATATTATTAACTTCCACAGTATGACGTATACAATGCTAATTACACAAGTCATGGCTCAACGCGGTACCTTCTTCGAAGCTGTGTCCGGCTTCATAAGAGACACCGAGAGGGTCCTCAACGGGGAACCACCGGACACAGAAGAGATACAACCGGAGTATGACTTCATAATCATCGGAGCAGGTACAGCTGGATGCGTGCTTGCTAACAGACTGACAGAAGTAGACAATTTTAAGGTAAACAATATGCGAAAGTCATGTGGTTTCTTAATGGTCGGCAAAGGGCTAAAAAATGCGTCTATTATTAGACACAAATTAATAATTTGTATCTATTAAAAGACGCATTTATTTGTACTACGTTAGTAACAAGCATACGGCATATCTCATAGTAAACGGTTACCGTAGCCTATGGACCCCTGAAATACTAGAGGTATAACGTGCGCGTTGCCGACCATTAAGAAACCATAATCGTAATTAAAAAAACGTTGATTTGCTATTTGTTTCAAAATATATTTATTAGAAACCAGTGTCAAAAAATTGCACATGTGCGCCTATCCGTACAAGAAAATGAGGTGCGCCTTATCATAGGTTAAAGGAGTTTTCTCTTGCGATTATTCAGGTTACGAAATAAATTTTGTTACTGAATAAAATATAGTCTTAAAAAAAGCATAATACGGAGTGTTCATGGCTCGTTGTAATTAATTGTACCGTATTTTTTTTTTATGTGTCAAAATTTAACAAATCGAATTAGGCATTCATTATAATTATCTATCAACAGTAAAAAAAAATATATTATAAATTTTGTAAATTTCAGTAACGTGTTTATAAGAACGTAAATGATTTTCTAGAGTAGTTACAGTTTAAACAATTGGCCAGAAATAAAATTAAGTTAAAAAATAATGTAATACATTCCGTATATACCTACCTACGTGCACCCGATAATTAGTAAAACCTAGTTAGAGTTAGAGTTAATAAAAAGTTAGTAAAACCGGTTGATATTTACTTAAAATACACTTACAATTGTGGAACAAGGAAGGAATTATTTTAATTACTTTATAACTTAACAGGGGAGAAAAAAACATAAGTTGTTGCTTATCTCAGTCAAGAATAGAGCGGGCGAAAACTATCATATGTTTTATTTTAATCTTATTTCATTTAGGTACTTTCAAAATAAAATCTTAATGCCAGTGCCATCGTTTTCTTTTTCAGACTACTCTAATGCTGTTTACCGCAGCTGGCCTTTTCAGCTTCGGCAGACGATAGGGGGCGAGTGCAGATGATACTCCAAACTTGCGAAGGACTTATGGAACGGCTAAAGGCCATGTCCCGCCGGAAGGATACCACTTTAATCGAAGGGCATCGCTAGGGGTTTGAACAGGTTCAGGCCTTTATAAGTTTGAACCCCGTTTTAATTGGACTGTGGATCGATCAGAGGCAACAGTGCCATCGTGTCTTATTCCTTGTCTCATTGTTATACTGTATGTTGATAACATTTCTTTTCTAGCGACGGTACAGAATCGGACTAGCACTGTAGACTGTGGCACACTGCAACATCTACCAGGGTCAATTTTAGACCGATTTAAATGATGATATTTTTAACAGACAGGTTATCCTCCCTTTTAAAGTCTTATTAATTCCGTTATAACTGAAATTAATTTTCATTGTGGAGAATAAATATTATATTCGCAGATGCGACTTCGATTTCGGTAGAGCAACCTATTTTATTTGAATATCACTGTCTGATGTAATACTTAATGATTCTACTCGTATAATGAGATAAAATACGAGAAACGGTGTCAAGCCCACTCGGTAGTAATTTCTGTAATTCATACTAATGTGTATTTAATAATTATTAAATAACTGATGACCTCGGTGGTCTAGTGATGTAGCACACGCCTTTCTTCCGATGATCGTGGGTATGTTTAGCATCTTACTAATATTATAAACGCGAAAGTTTGTGAAAATGGATGGATGAATGTTTGCTACTCTTTCCCACAAATATTACTGAAAGGATTTTCATGAACCTATACAGTAATATAGCTTATACATCAGAATAACACATAGGCTACAATTTGAAACTGTATTATGTAAATTGGGTGAAATATAACAATAAATGTCTAGCGTGATGCAGGAGAAGTTGCGCGGGTTAGCTAGTGTTATAATATAGCATTCAGCATAGTCCATTTTTTAATGAAAATAATGTGTACATTACTTTATTTATTACAGGTGCTCCTGATAGAAGCAGGTGGTAGTGAACAAATGTTCATGGACATCCCGGTACTAACCACTATGCTGCAGTTCACGGATGCCAACTGGAACTACCGTACCGAACCACAAGTGAGTTATAAGTTACTATATCATTTTCCACGGTTTTGCAAATATTTAATTGTAGCTGGTCTAGAAGTTTAGCACACTATTTTAATTTCGGTGGTCGCGGATTGGATTCCTCGTACAGTGCAACAGAATAACACGGTGCAGAATTCATTTTTGTAGTGTTATATTTTCTCGCGCAAATGTAATCCGCCACAGATGCACAAAATTGCATTAAAGCTTTATATATATTATTTAATAGTATTTCTAAATACAGACGATATTCTCTAACAATGGTCAATCACAAATCAAATAAATATTATTAATTGCATGCTAATATGCAATGAGTAGTATAATAAGCTATTTATAAGTACTGCTATGTCATTGGGAAGTGCAGTGATAGTTTGATGTATATTGTCTTCTGACATAATATAATTATCTAGTTATTAAACGTTTAAGCAGTACAATGGACACATTAACATGAGATAAGGAAAACTATGTGATATAAACGTTTTTAATCAAGGTGGCAGTTTCTAGAATTGCTGAGGCCAAGCATAGAGAGATGGCATGTTATTTTCCGGTGTTGTCATTGAGTAATTAATATATAAACCTGTGTAGGAACAAGGTCGTAGGAGGAACGTAAAATATTAGAAGAGTTGATTTTTACTAAACGACAAATAAACCTCAAGTTTAAAGAGTAAACTTGGAGTTTGAAGAATATTTATATACACATGTTTTACTATCAATTTTATTTTATACTACACGTATACCGCGATTTTGTCGTTCTTTATTTCATCCTTTTTCAAATTATTTCAAGGTAACAGATAGTATTTTTCCATCTTCGTGGAATCTCTTTCAACTTCACTTAAATTTAACCGTTTAGCCGTAAAATGGTAATGAACAGATAGGCAGACGCAGTTTCATTCTTATAATTTTGGTATGCATTTAATACTAATTGGTATAAAATACATACTAAAATTATAACAACAAAACTGTGTTTAGTCAACAATATCTAGATTTGTTCAAAATTTTGGAACTAATCTAGATATATGATGACTAAATTGATTCAAATGTAATCAACATACACATAATATGTCAGAGTTAAACATACACACTTTTATGTGTATTAATGTTACATTTATATTAGTTGGAGACAAATGTTATCTATAGAAATTAACTGTACTACAGTGTGGCAAAATAGCTGATGCACATAGTACCTGTGATAAGGTAGTACACGTCATTATTGTGATATTTCTCTGTATAAGTAATTAAATTGTAATTATCGTTATTAGGTGACAGTTATGACTTTCCATTAGATAATTAATACTCGTGAAAAAAATGTTAATGTATTGGAAAACTAAGATCTCATTAGTCAATAAGAACTAAAGTGTCATAATTCATAATCTTTATTTCTCGTTCACATATTATACAACGGAATTTTTAGTAACGAACGATACATGAAAAAATCTACTCTTTAGGTATTTCGAGGCGATTTTAGTATTCCAATAATAATAATTCATAATAATTATAACCCATGATATATGATTATTTGGCGCTGTGTGAATACAGCGCCAAATAATCCCAAACTACACAGACCTTGTACTATATATATTAATTACTGGTATAAATATTTAGAAACATATTTTTTTGTAAATAAATACATAATATACATAGAAATAACCCAGATCAATCAACAATCAATACAAATGTTCTATCCTGCCACGAATCAAACCCGGGACCATCGGATCAGCGGTGTGCTAAACTGCTAAACCACCAAGTCCATCAAGTATAGGTTTTCAAGATTACATAGAGGCCGTATTACACGCATGATCACATATTGACTGGATATGACGATGGATGTAAACAATTATTCAAAGAAGAAAATCTGTCTACCCGTTTTCTTGTGTTTTTGGGACACCGTCAATGCCTGTGTGAGACAGTTTCTATAATCACATTCAAATATTCAGAATAGATCAGATACAAATTGAATACATCCGATAATTGGTATTCATGCTGTGTCACATATTGTAGAAGGTAATGTGTCACCTTCTGGTTATAGTTTGTGAACAGGGGTCATCGCCAAATCTAGTTTGTATTCAGTTAGCAATTATAAACAAGTCATTTATTACTACTATCCTTAAACAAACAAGAGTGTAATACTGTACTGTAATATATGTTTATGTAACTGGTATGACAGACAAGCTGACGGCCTACCTGATGGTAAGTGTAATCTTATTAATCTTATGTTACTTCTACAATATACTTGTACTAAAATATACTATCTAACTAATATTATAAACGAGAAAGTTTGTAAGTATGGATGGATGGATTAATCCAAAAGTTACTGAACACGCGAATTTTGATGAAACTAGAGTAATATAGCTTAAATATCAGAATACCACATAAGCTATAACGTAAAAAGATGTTATGTAATTTGGGTAATCGAACAGACGAACTTGCGCGGATCAGTTAGTTACATATATATAATATAAAGGAGTACCAAGATGTAATATCTTTGCAAGCTGTAATTTCATTGCCATATCTCACTGTCTACCCGAAACACAAGTTACAAATAAACTGCTTTATGGCTGGTTGAAATGGTGCTGTGATCACAATAAGACACAACTTTGTATAAAGCCTACCACCCTAGTATTAAACTGGACTCATATGCAAGAAAACAGAATCATGCCACAGAAAAGGAATATATAAGTAAATAGAATAATAAGAACCATCATAAAAGAATAGAAAATAATATTCATACATAATATATACATAGTTTTGTTACTAAATACTTAAAATATTGTACATGATGAACCGCATGAATAGCTTTATATGTATTATATGCTCCTCACGCACTCGCCTTGGTTGAACCAACGACAATGTAAATGTAGCTCAATGTAAAGTTTGACATGTCAAATTAAAAAAATATAAAGTGAAAACATAGCGAATCTTTGAAGGGGGAACTTTAAATTCCATTAAAGTAGCAGTGATCTTATTTATTAATTCAAACCATGGGTCCAGAAAATTTACCAAATCCGTTGTAAGATCTAAACTTTACTTTTATATACCTTTAATATTCATGTAATATTAGTAGGTTATTAAAGTTGATGTAATTGCTTATGTATTTTAAATATACAACGATATATCTCGATTTACTTGTAAAAGTGACAATGCTTTGAAAACAAAACCGGTCAATATAATAAAATTAAAACAACGCATATGTGGAAGATTACCAATTCATGTTCTATAAATAATAATAAGGTACTCAAGGCTGACATAAATGAAGTTTTTTTATAGAAAATAAAGGATTACATCAAATGATATTTTCTTTTAACAGTTAAGTTTCTTGCCAGTTCTTTTCAACAGCAGATATTGGTATTGTCTGGAAATGAATTGTAATTCTAATATTAGATTAAGCCGTTTCGAACCTTTTTATAGTCTTGAATTATACATTAGTAACATCAACATAATTATTGATTTGTTTTATTAATTGCATATTTCGTGTTTAATAAGAGAACTAACTGAATTACTCGGTTTAGTCTTGATTTGCTTCATCTTTTGAAATTACAAAAACGGAATGAATTGAATCTATTTTGATATTGTTCTCCAGAGTAGACGTGTTAGACATCGGGATAGAAAAAATAAGTGCATGAGTGCCAAAAATGTCCTATATGAGTGAATATTTCTATTTTTAAAGGAGTCCGGTTGCATTGGAATGCGGGAGGGTCGCTGCGCATGGCCTAGGGGCCGAGTCGTTGGTGGTTCATCTGTCTTGCATTCGATGATGCACACACGAGGAAACAGGCGTGACTACGACAGATGGGCTGGGAATGGCAATCCAGGTAATCGATACTTAATCATTATGGTAGACCATAATGTCTTTTTAGTGAGTGCGGCCTCGAAACAACATTCCGTAAACTTTTAGTCGATGTGATTTTGTTTTCCTTGTATTTATGGAAGGCTAGCTGTACGGCAGTGCGACACGCGACATATCGTCCTCATTAAAACTACACAGGATGTAAAAAAGAGTATGTTGCGAGTATAATCCGAAATCCTACGAAAGTATTCACAAGATTATCTCAAATCAATGACATTATGCCTTTTATTTGTATATATAGGTTTTATTTTAAGGGTTCTCATACAGTGATACATTACACTTTAGCTTCGTCTCAGGGGAAAAAATGGAGTGGTGATATATTGTAGTCAATTGATTATTATATAAAATAAAATATCTCTACTATTTCTTTGCATTTTTTGCAGGGTGGGATTACAAATCTGTGCTGCGATACTTCAAGAAATCAGAAAACATGCAAATACCAAAACTAGCTAAGAACACAAACTTTCATTCTACTGAAGGGGAAATGACACTTCAGTATCCAAATTGGCGAACTCCTCTTTCAAAAGCATTTTTAAAAGCTGGACTCGAGACTGGAGGAAAGATTGTGGATTATAACGCAGAAAAACAAATAGGATACTCAATTATACAGTTTACTATGGATAATGGTACAAGAATGAGCGCAAGCCGAGCCTTTTTACATCCTATAAAACATCGTAATAACCTTCATATAGCTAAAAACGCAATGGTTACTCGCGTTTTAATAGACCCTTGGACAAAAAGAGCATATGGTGTTAAATTTAATAAAGATGGCAGAAAATATGTCATTTTATCTCGACTTGAAGTAATATTGTCTGCTGGTGCAATTAATTCTCCACAAATATTGATGATTAGCGGTATTGGACCAAAAGAGCACTTAACAGAAAATAATATTACAACCATTATGGATCTACCTGTCGGCTACAATTTGCAAGATCATTGGGCACTTGGTGGACTCACATTTACTATTAATAGTACTGATTCTATTAGGTCTGAACGAGTTGCTACTCTGGATAATATAATTGAGTACTTCAGCCACCATACAGGACCATTATCGGCTCCAAGTGGCACGGAGGCAATAGCCTTCTTCGATACCAAAAATCCGCATAGTGACGATGGTTATCCAGATTTAGAATTACTTTTTGTCGCAGGGTCGTTAGTTTCACAACCTACTTACAAGGAAGCATTTTCTATTGACAATGATGTGTATGAAAAAGTTTATGGTCCAATAAAAAATAAAGATACGTGGATGGTTTTTCCAATGCTTTTATTACCGGAATCTAAAGGACGCATTAAATTAAGAAACAAAAATCCTTATCAAAAACCATTGATATATCCAAATTATTTTTCTGATGGAGGACATGATCAGAAGGTAATACTGACTGGAATTAGAAAAGCAATAGAACTGTCGAAAACGAAAGCTTTTCAAAAATACAACAGTCGATTACATGACGTCCCATTACCAAATTGTGCACGTCATGGGTTCAATTCAGATGAATATTGGTATTGTGCAATGAAAACCATTACTAATACTATTTATCACCATTGTTGTACAAATAAAATGGGACCTGAAGATGACGCAGGCGCAGTAGTAGATTCTAGACTAAGAGTATATGGCGTTAAAGGACTCCGAGTAGTTGATGCCAGTATCATGCCCCATGTTCCTGCAGCTCACACAAATGCACCAACAATGATGATAGCTGAAAAAGCAGCTGATATCATTAAAGAAGATTGGGGGATTCCCATAGATTAACAGCATATTAGACGATATTTCCTTTTCCCAGTATGATGAAATTCAGCAATTTACTGAACCAAATTTTCATTCATCAAAGAAAACATATATGTACACACTATTTTATTTATTTTTACTTATATCGATTTTTTAGCCACACCATTTCGAGGATATTCTCAGAAGATGCTATTAAAGTTTCATCACAATTTGATTATGAACCACTCATCAGATTAGAATGCATGGAATATAAACATTCCAAAATTTACCATCATTTATACACATTAAATATGTGTTGACACTAATTTTTTATTGGAATTAAAAAATGAAAAACAACATAACTCAATAGTGAAGATTATGCACAATTATTGCCGTTGTACCTATATAGTTTTCCCAACGATGCAAATAGTCTGTTGTTTCAGCAATTAATAGACAGTTATTGATTTTTTAATATATAATTATATTTTTTTTAATACTGTACAATTTATTTCGCTTTGTCACGAAAGGTCAGACGATAGAATATAATTCCGCTTGAATAAATAACTGCATTTGGATTTAGTTTTAAAATGACGAAATTGTAAAGTGAAAAGTTGTCTCAATTTGTATGCTAGTATTGTTATCGAATAGGATACACCACTGCATGACCTTCAATTATACGTAATAATTAATAATAAATAATAAATAATTTAATTGTATACTAAAATTGAATGTTATAATTTAAGTAAGAATTTGTTAAATAAATAAGTAGTTAATTTAAAAAATATGTTTTATTTTTGATCTGATAAAGTAATATTTTTGTATGGACACCTATATGGACACCGATATAGGACCTAAATATAGACTAACTCAATCTTTACATGGTCAAAAACTTTCCATAAATTATTTGTTATAAGAAGCTGTTCAGTAGATTAAGTTAAAAACATTTTCGTCATTTTACTGATAACCACAAATAGAGATTCAATGAATCATGCATGTATTTTACAATTAAATTTATGTCGATTAAAAGTATATACGACGGATTGTAAAGTGTAAAATCTGCTGTCACTCTTTTATCAGGCGTTATGGTCGAACAGTCGTTTAGTTGAACAGTTGTGTATGCAACTGCAACTTTAGCAGGTCGTTTTATGTGTGTATGTGTGTGAGTATTTTACTGTGTATACTGAAACAGGGACAAAATTACGGCCTGAGCCGAGATTATAAAAATTCTACCGTTTCCCTGTGTTCAAAATCGTATACGTCAGGTAGGAGTTGGCCTTCAGACTCTACATCTATATTTCAATTTTAATATACAATAACTAGCAAACAAATTCTTACCTGTGCTCTTTGAAAGAAATATATACATTGTTAGTAATCTGATTAGTATGAAACAAACACAAAGTTTTAGGTGCTTTTTGACACAACTTATAAATTAAAATCGCGCCCGAAGTGGACAGACAAACAGACAAAAATTCTAGCAACTTTATTTTGTTATTTTATTATGTAGATATAGTTCCATTTATAAGCAATAATAGTTTTTCTAATTAAGCATCTTGCATAAACAGACAGCATTATTTGTTTGTTAAATGCATGTGTATGTGCAAATTATCATTTTAGCGTCTACAAGCGTAATCTAAAGCAAATGAAATAATTTTTGTAATTTTTGTCTATAATTATTTAAATGAACATTACGAACTGATTATATACACAAATTATTGTAATAATTTCCATTAAAGATTCGCATGTTTAATATGAAACGGATGAATGGATTGATAACTCTTGAATATCAACCTTGGAGTGGCTGTTCAAGTTAATAATATGAATACTTTTATTATATATACAAGAATATCTTTATTACTACGGAATATATAATCCTAAGACGTACTGCTGACGTCACTGGTGGTCTAATACACCGCCTAGTAGTGTCCGATTACCACATAATACACATAATAACAATAATATAGCAGTTAGACAATTCACACAGCGTAATCTAGTTTCGAGCTAAGCAGAACGTATGTTATAGGATAACTAATACAATTACTAAGAAATTTTTGGTAATACATACATAATATACGTAGAAAACACCTAAAATACAAGATGTTTACACCGTGTGTGAGGGATCGAACCCGCGACCATCGAAAGTAAAGCTGTGTGCTAAACCGCTAACAAATATTTCAGACAGTCCAAATCAGACAATACACATCAATAACTATGCAAACTCATAATATGAAACCCCATACTAAACCCCCTAGTGAGTGTCGTATACTCAATACCAAATGATTTTAATTATTTATTCATACTGAATATTAACCGATTATTTCAAATTAAATAATTAAAGTGTACTTATAAGACACTCATACAATTGTCGTTATTTATAAATAACAGTTATGTAAATTCGACAGACTTTCAAGATCAAGGCGATTTCGCAAAGTCAAGGCGATGCTTACGTATAAATTACTATATGGTCTATAGTTTGCAGGTATATATACATGGAAAATATCAATTTTGAATTTTACTGTTAAGGGATTATATCTCAAAGCAATGAAACTCATATATTTTTAACAGCGCGAATGGCACTGAACCATACGATCTGAACACCTGAAACAAATGTTAACAACAACGTTTTCAACATCCAAACGAACAATATATATATATAAATATATATTTAAAAAAAACTGATAACAACAAACATCACGAGTCACATTACCCGGTAATTTCACAATTAATCGTATAAATTGGTTACGAGTTAGCTTCGGGTTTTTTTTAATACTTGTATTAATTATCAAACTAGAAAACCTTATCGGAACGCCGTCCTATAATAGTTGGAATTAATGCTCGCAGATTACTCATTATAGTTCATACAGTCTGTAGAGGTCACGGTGAATGCCGTTCAGCGGATTTCCTCCAGTAAATAAAACTGTTCGTTTGAACCCATTTGCTGCAGTGGTGTCAGGAGCGCACAGCCCCGCGCGCGTTACACCAATCCAAGTGATGTCCGATATAGAAAACGATCGATTACCGATATAACATCGTTGACAATATCGATTGTGCTTGTGTTAATTTGTGATCTTATTGGTATTAAATTCTGAGATGTAAGTATTCATTATTATGAAGTAAAAATATAAGTTATATAAATATCGCTGTTCTTAACATTTATAATCAATCAATCAATAACATTTATAATCAAGAATCAATCTATTTATTAATTTAAAAAAAGTGATATAATGAAAGGTTAAGGTGATAGGAGCTACTGGTTTACTATGTTTAGAAATAAAAAAATTAATTGTTTATTTAATAATAAAAATACAGAACTTTCACGTTTGCTAGTACGTTAACCTATTCTTTTGTAATTGTGTAATTCAATGTATATAGTGATAAAAATATAAAGATATATCTTTAGAAAACTAGATTGTTTAAAATAACTATGGATTTTCAATTTCTCAAATTGGAAACTCAATTCATTAACGCATCTCTAATCATTCGTTATCTTTAGAAGGGGTAAAACATTCAACTAATATGTGTATCATTTTATTTCATGTAAATAAAAGTCTTATTTTCATTCAATAATACTTACTTCCACTGACAAAATTATTTATATAATATCCTATATTCCAATTCCAACATGACAACAAATTCTATCTATTTCATAAATAATCACGAAAGTACGCTATGTTTTAGAGTAGATAATGCACGTAAAATTCTATACATATCTATCTATGTAATCCAATGTATATAATAAAAGCCGAAAGCTAGTGATAGTACTAACTAAACAAATTTAAAGAATTAATGATTATTATAGTTATAATTAGATTTATATATTTAAAGGTTTTAATAAATATTCTCCATTTTAATTATCATACAAACTAGAGTGGCACGAGATTCACCGACAAACGTGTAGTATTTAAATTATGAACGAATATAGACTATACGGTTACAAGACTTGTTTAGTACTAAAAAGTGCAAAATTTAATTTTCGACCCAATTTCTAATGATGAAATTCACATAGTATTAGCATTTACGACTAACCTATGCATTACAGTAATTTCACATCAAAATTTCAGATCCAGCAAAACCTAGCTGGCCAATTTTATTCCAATTTTACTTATATAAATGACACTGGAGGCCTAACTATCTAGGAACCAAACTGTAGATAAATAAAAAAAAAGGTTTATGCAGTATCTACGTGATTCGAATGCAATTGTATATTATATAATAAACATATATGTAATTGTCATTTACATTTTCCCTAAAGACATTACGCCTTTAGGGAAGATATCTCCTGCTTGTTTATAACCAACTAGGCGGATCTGTGTTAGTAGCTCTGTCCCACCACAAAGCTGTTTGTTTTGTAATATGTATTTTGGTTAGACGGTGAGATACGCACGGCACGGAGGCATCTTAGTCCTCCAGAATGGCAACGCTGCGGTACCACAGGCATCATATGATGACGTGATATCCACAGTGCTATTCATGATATAGATGATGATATAGGTATTCATGATATAGGATGTAGGCTCACCTGTCGGTAAGTGATATTACCGTCAGATGAGCCTACATCCTGTTTACCATTAAAGTAACAAAAAAATCTATTGGACGTTAGTTTGTTGTGATGATTCCGACAGTATATTTCCATAGATACTTACAAAAAGCTATTTATTTCGACTATTTCATACAATCTTTTAGTCCTTTGCGGATCCGGGTATACCTTAATTAAACTAAGTTAGGTGAAGTATATATACATACAATCCTAAATTTAAACACATTATAAAAATTTGGCCGCATCTTACTCTCATAAACTAATTATAATATATATCGAACCAAAAAATAACAATACACGACAATTCACAAAGCAGGATCTAAAGTCAAACTAATCAGAGCTTGTACCATATGTACTAAATAGGTAATAGAAACATTTGAACACACTTTTTTATAAAAATATTACAAACAACATTTTGATACTATAAATAGAGAAATAATTAAAATAAATAAAATCTATAACTAGAAATACACTGTAATTATATCAGCAACCAGCGCATGCTTATTCTTAAGTGTTAATTCATTCTTAAGTGTAGTATCAATTAGAAATTACGCATGCGAGTATGCTAGATAGAGTTAATATATATTTAATTCATCAATGAATTATTTCATAAATAACCATAAATACTGTAGACTTCAGATGCGAAAATGGACAATATTGCCAATTTAATTTAGAAGAGCGAATAGTAAGTGTATATATAAATAAATAAATAAACAAGGATATGATAAATAAACAACAATATGTCCATAAACAGTTAATTGTTTATAGTAAAAATCATATTAAAACCCATACGCCTCTGCTTATGGATTCTTAAGCGAAGTCTCTTTTCGTCTGTTTGTATCTCTATACAAACAGACGAAAACAGAGACTTCGCTTTTCACTTAGAATATAGTCTCATATACGTACGTACCTGTAAAATAAAACTGTTTTTAAATACGACAAAATCAGTTAATCCAATACGGGAGAAGGACTGAAACTGTTTGAAAAAAAAATTGCACCAATCGAGAAAAGATTGAACAATTAAATAAGTAATATAAATTAATTGAAGAAATTAAAAATAATATATTCTTCTTAAGGAAGTAAGAATTACGATATCTTGACATTTTGTCCCCCGCGTGCAGCTTCATATACTTTCTTACACATTTTTGCAACAAATATCCGAAATGTGTACAATGCGGTTAGTTTTCAAGGTAAATTCAATGCATTTTTATTAAATAGCTTAAGGCTTTGGATAACTCTTAAATTGGCTCTTAATACTTCAATACAGTGGACCCGCGGTAATCCGGCCCCTGTCTAATCCGGCCCCCCTTGTAATCCGACATTGTCTATTATTTGTTATTGAATATTACTTTGACAATATACTTCAGAGTGCATATACATACATACATATATAACATAGAATCTTATCACTGGATCTGTAATTTGTCGGATTACAAGATACTCTTTTGTAAAAAATTCCGGACTATAAGCAGAGGACCCTTAAGCAGCACTCTATAATCCGACAAATACGATGGTCCGACACTGCCCTGCAAAACGTTTGTCGGATAACCGGGGGTCCACTGTATATGTATATAATATAAAGAATCATCATTGGATCTATAATTTGTCGGATTACAAGGTACTCTTTTGTAAAAAAATTCGGACTATAAGGGGTCTTAGGCAGTACTCTATAATCCGACAAATTCGATAGTCCGACACTGCCCTGCAAAATGATTGTCGGACTACCGGGGGTCCACTGTATTATCATTCCTTAATATTAAGGAATGATAATACAGTGGTGTAGCAATTCAATAGTGTCAATTTAAAAAGTATGTATATGGTCTAAACACATAGTTTCAATTATGAAACCTGTTTCCGACATTTCTGTTGATCGTTGTCATGAAATTGAAATTAAAAAGTATTTTCAAAAAAAGAACATTTGTAACATTAAAAAGAAATCTTCATTTGTTGCTTTTTTCCTCGTGATATTAAGGAAATGGCAAACAAGCTGAAGGTCTATCTGTGGTAATCGTGCATACAAATGTGGACGTCACGGAATATATATACTATGTCGTACAGGGATGACGATCATACAAGGATTGTCGTACAAATACGGTATTGTTAGCCTTCGGTATTAGAATATTTATCTCCTAGTACAAATGTGTATGAAATTACTATGAAAATGGGTCAAAATGTTTTTGTGTGAGGTTAAAACCTAAATTGGATTAATATACATAAATTATCAGTTTTTTATATCTTCGTACGATGTTGTATTTTAAGGTGGGCAACCTGGTGTCGCATTTGTTCCAATTTATTGATACTATATAGCATTACTATACTCCATTATTACATACGGAACGCCCACTTTTGTATTCAAATCTATACATGTGTACGTACAACCAACATATACTAATAACCAGTCAAGGTTCTGTCGTACAAAAATGAAAATTGTATTGCAAAATCAATGTTCATATTTTACATATAAATTTTTATTATTGCCTCACAAAGTTTTTAGGTACAAGTTATCCTCAGTAAAAAAAGTATAATATAAAATTAAGTTTTCATGGTGAAAAATATAGTTTTCTGGAGGTTTTATGCAATAATTAATTTAATCCCAATAAAAACGTAAGTGCCAGATTTTAATATATTTTGTTAGTATTTCTGAAATTGTTTAACTACTTAGTAATTGTTTTGCTTTTTAACGAATTATATATTGATATGGTATACAATATGACCATAATAGTGTGTCTACCAATATAGTGTGTTTTAACACACTAGCTCGCCCTTTGATGATCGCGAGTTCGCCTGTTGTCTCACGAGACTTCATATTTGTGTATAATTTAGAAATTAACATTGTTTATAATAGATAAAAATGAAAAAAATATAAACCATTATAAAAATTGATAATGACAATATATATAAGATAATGAGTGAATGAATGAATGTGATGAATCTACATTGTTAATTATCATTAAGAACATTTAAATAACAAATGAAGATATTTACTTCTTATGCCGTGTCTTCTAAGACAATAGTCTACAATTATATAAAAAAAAATATTTGCAAATATACTTTTCAAATAATACTAGTAAAATGTTGTTTTTCATATAAAATATTTGACGAGAAAGGGAAGAGGAGATTTTTTTCAACATGTAATGTTGAAAAATATCTTGAAATTAATACAGTAGTATGAGTTTATTTGTTACAAATATAAAAATCTTTAGAATACATAGATATTTACTTTGATAGTACGGATACACAAATCGTTATCACAAAAAAGACAAATGTGGCGTCGACTACATGTGTCTTTTTATGATATTTTATATGTATAACCTGCAGTAGTAAATATAGCTAGGATAAGAACAAGAAGAACAACAATAACGGAGCAAAATCAGGGAGATGTGTCATCACGCTTAACCATGACCACCTTCTAACCTAATCATACTTGGTCATGGTCGGAATATCTTAGAACACCTATTCAACACAATATAAAAGACTGTACAGTGAAAACACCAAACTATAAGTAATTCATATATTTACTGAAAACGTGTTAGTAACTGGAGATTTCAAGCCCAACTATATTATTTTGTATTCATGAGTGATTTACATAGATATCTGGAAATAATGGAAATATTACGAGTCCTCATGAATTAAGGTAATTACTTTTTTATGCAATCACAATGGCAAACAACGGCACACAGGATGGTAAGTGATAATCATCGCTTAAATGCAAGAATAGCACTGCGGATATCACGTTATGTCCCGTGCCTGCTTCCTCATCAGACCAGGGAAGTGACATTCGGCAGGACAAAGTTCATACTCAGCCAGTGACGGGAATAGAACACATTAATCGATGTATCCACTAAATTTGTGTAACCATTGATTAATATCGTATATGTTTTTGTGACATTAAAAAGTTCTAAATGTTAAAGGTTTCTACTTTATACAATAATCAACAAGCCTAATTAATACAATAACTTTATAAATGTGTAGAAGTTTTGTTTGTTGTGCTTTGTTGTGCAATCAGAGACGGCATAACGGAGTAGGCTCCGGATTACATGTATAGGAATATTTTCCTTAAAATTATTTTTGGATTTATTTCAAACGGGTTGTAAACAATTGTTATTCCCAATAGGACGGCGTACGGTACGAAGTACGTTTGTGTTAATCGCAAACTGACTAGTTCAGAAGAGAGCTCCCAAACACGAACCACAGATAACAGAACCGCTGTATTGAAAGGAGATCCAATATACAACCACATAAATAAAAAAACAATGATAACATAATATTACATACACGAACTAAGCGAACTCGTACTGATAGACCTTTCGCTCTTTTTGTTTAATAAAACTAAAAATGTCGTTATGAATAGAAAACACTTATTTGCAGAAAACATATTTATAGGCCTACAAATTCGAAGTATCTGTTCGAAGTATTTGTCTGTTTGTCATCTTTTAAAACTACATAAAAAGCTAAAAGAAATTTGATTTGAATTTAGATTATATTACGCGGACGATCGTAGGCCATCACCTGTTTTTTTTTTCTGATAAGTGGATAGATAGAGATATTATATTTTCAAGACAAATTCATATCATGTCATCCGCGTAGCTCTTTTTACTCAAATAAAATCAGATGAAACCGCGGGACATGGCTAGTAAACATATTTAATATAAAAATTATCATTTAGCAAAGCAATCCTTACATAACATTGTTTCACTATCATAGTACATTTCTAATAGACAACCGATATGATATATCAACATTATTTAAAATTTTTGCGTAACTTTGTAATAAAATGCGCAATCTCAGCGTTAGTTATTACATTAGTCTACAATTGTCTCCGCATGTAAGTAATTGTTATATTTTTAATTGTGTGTTGTTTATGTGTACAGTAACAATTATGGTTCATCATCCATACATACACAATACAAACATAAGCAAACTAAAGGCTGCTATTAGTCTATAGCTGTATGTAATAGCTATAGACTGTAGTGTATTGTATATAAGTACAGACCGTATTGTCAGTACGTTCAACAACTAAACAATAATTATATTCTTATCTATCTATCTTTCTAAGAATTATAAAGCAAAATACCTGTTGTCCCTTAGTTTTTTTTATATAATTGGAATGGTAAACAAGCTGACTGCAGATCTGATAAGCGGTAACCGTTGCCTATTTATATGTATAGAAGATGTATAGATGTATAGATATACATCTATACATATAAATAAAATTGGAGTGTCAGTTTGTAATATTGAAATAACCGTTTTTTTCAACATGCTAATGACTATAAAGACGGTACATACACCAAAAAACCACTTTTTTAATGTCTGTTTGTTCCGGCTAATCTCTGAAATGGCTGGGCCGATTTTGACGGGACATTTATTGGCAGGTAGCTGCTGTAATAAGCAGTAACTTAGGCTACTTTTATTTTAGAAAAATAAAGTTAAATTCCACGCAGACGAAGTTGCGGAAGCAGCTAGTACAGTCAACCCTCCTATAACGCGGTACTCTCAGAACGCGGTTTCCATATAACGCGGAGCTGAAATTGCGACAGCCCTCCTATAACGCGGTACTCTTACAGCGCGGTTTCCGTTCAACAACGTCCCATCAGTTCTTTCCGTGCACCCAATGAATGGTTTTAACTGGATATGTTTATATCAGCGTGGTTCACGGGTGGGTGGTTCTCCTCATGCGCTATCTTCCACTTCTATTAACTAAATAGTTTCGCATCGACAGCGTGCCATGCGTGTGTGTGTCTAACGAAACTGTAACATGAAAGATATATATGTGATCTTTTGACTACATTGTCGCGTGAACTATAGAAAAACTACGTTCTGCTTATGTCTTAGCCGCTTAAAACCAATGTGAAGATCAACCAAGTGAGGAAGACATTTTGCCCATTAAAAGAAGGCGAGTTAGGCGACTCATATCTGACAGTGAGGATGAGTGTTGAAAGATTACATCATTTTACAAAAGTCTTTCTTTTGTTTTTGTTGGAAAACAGTTTTTTAGTTTAGTTTTTGTTTCATTTTTTTCATCATTTCCTTTTTTTTTATTGAATTGAAGAGTTCATACTCTTCAATTCAATAAAAATAATTTATAATTTATCTTGTCTTTTGTATTTATTGGTCTCCATATAACGCGGTACGAATGATGTGATTTGTACTTATTCTGAGTCTCTTATAGCGCGGTTTCCATACAACGCGGTAGACGGTTTCCATAGAACGCGCTACGAATTAGCCTGGTTTGTATGGTTAAATCCGAGTTTCTTATAGCGCGGTTTCCATACAACGCGGTACGCACTCACCGCGTTATAGGAGGGTTGACTGTAATTATATAAAATATATACATGAATAATATCACCGATATCACGTTATCATGTGATACCGGTGGTCACCATTCACCTCCATGCCGCAGAATTAAAATGCCATGGATCAGAATTAAAACGCCTCATATACTCTGCCGCTGCTTTATCTCCATACCACTTACTGAATTTAGAGATATTCTTCCGGAAGAGTTATATGTAGGTATAACTCGTGGATATATTCATATGGCCACGTACCAAGGGCGGCTAGATAGTTGGTTTTAAAACGAGTTCAGAGTAATTGAATTGTTCATTAGACGCAGTATTATTTTATTCATAGGTATAAGCTATTCGGGGAACTATATTTAAAAAAATTAAAAGGATTATTATTTTTTTATTTCAATGATAATAATTTAACGAATATTAGCACTGTTTTAAAGCATTTATGTTTTATTTGCGAAAAATATAATTTTTACATATAGATAGGTGTGTAAAGACTAGCTCTACCGCCTGCTTAAAGTATTCAAGCAAGAAGTATACTATATGTGATTTGAGACCACACCACTGTATCTGTTTGACTTTTAAATGAAATCTGTGTTAATTCTATATTGTCTAATTTCTTAGAGAGTTACAAACATTAACTAAATATCCATCAATCCTAAAAGAAATCGGTATTTATAATATTAATGGTGTGGTGTAGTTACAGAAAGAACACGTTGAAATACAGTAACAGTATAAGTCAAATTCTACAAGTTTCACTTAGGAGACTTCACAAGTAAAATATATGACGATTTAACTAAAGCAAATCTTCACAGTCTTAGACTTCATTCACATCAAATACAATACTATTTTACAGTTGTTATTCACTAATGTAACAACTGCTTAATGTACTGTACTTAGATATTTCATGTAGATGATTAATTCACAGATGACACTAATAAGAGTAATCAGAATAGAAAAGAACTTGTGACTTTGAAAATTATCGTCAAATGGTTACAAGGTCAAATATAATATAAACACACGAGACACAAAAGTAAAATTGTGACAATATTAGAACTAGTAAAGGAATAATATATACCATATATGTAATTTTATAATATTCGGAAGGTTTATTATTAGTTTTATACCATGATGGTAGCAAACAGGACTTTTCCCTTTCCTTAGTACTTTATCTTGAAAGTTCTACCCATCAGAGGTACTAAAACCATCCCACCTTATTTTATGACATCCGTGTTACCGTTCATGTACATAAGAAAATATTATATCTATGATTCTTTATTTAAAAGAAAAGGTTTTTATTACACGTCGTAGTTATGAACTTATCAGGAAATATTGAAAACTTGTAGTAGATCATTATGAATTTTAAGTTAAATATTTCAAAACAGGGTTACTGAAGTTAAGATGGAATTATGAAAGGAAACATTATTTAATATAGTATACTAAGCTGACATACGTACTACATCCTTCTATTAGTCATTTCGTAGATCACGGAATAAAAGGAAAATCCCAACGATTTATGAGATAGACCACAAATCAAAGGACCTTTAAAATCAATTACAATGCCAACGCACGCAATCGTATTGAATGAAGAATGTGCGCTGTTTTGTTTCAAATGTTTCCACTACCTAGTATTTTATATTTGTAGACTTATCTAGTCTAAGAAACTCTCAGACACGAGTACATATATGCATCTAAAAATTTTTTTACTACAATTTACCAGTGGCGAAAGTCGTCTATGTATCTCTCTCACCAGTATGCCATTGTAGGAGGATAACAAGAAAATACAGGGTACGAAGACATAATATAACGCACGATAGGTACTACTACCACATCATGACGTAATGCACTTTTCATGTATATACATGCAACCGTTGCCACTTACCCTAGGTGTGTCGTGATCTAATGTGTCATTCCTACATATATCAAAAAGTGCAAAGGCGAGCTTATGTTTCTCTTTATCTGTTTCAGATGAGGTCTCACTCACGGGCGTTGAATGTAGTGGCTTTGTGGGTGCTCATTGCCCTTCTGCCACCTATAGGCACCCAGTACTTCGATCCTGTATCGTCTATACTAAACTTTGTTAACGAAGGTACCCAAAATCTTGACAATGAACCGCCTGATCAAGCTACCCTTCTCTCAGAGTATGATTTCATAGTTGTCGGTGCTGGAACGGCAGGATGTGTAATCGCGAACAGATTGACGGAAATACCCAAATGGAAAGTTTTACTCGTCGAAGCTGGCGTGAACGAAAACTTCGTCATGGATATTCCTCTCGTTGCAAACTATTTACAATTTACAGCCGCAAATTGGAAATACAAAACTAAGCCTTCTAGTCGATACTGCGCTGGTTTTGAGAACCAACAATGTAACTGGCCACGTGGAAAAGTGGTTGGTGGCTCCAGCGTTTTAAATTATATGATTTATACAAGAGGAATGAAATCCGACTACGATAGCTGGGAGATGATGGGTAATAAAGGTTGGGGATGGGACGAAGTACTGCCTTATTTCAAAAAAATTGAAAGATTCGGTATTCCAAAATTTGATAACGCATCATATCATGGATACAACGGCTACCTTAGTGTAGAACATGCGCCTTATCGTACGGCAAAGTCCAAGGCATGGGTAAAAGCAGCACAACAATTAGGCTTCAAGTACGGCGATCACAATGGCCCTAATCCTTCAGGTGTTTCCTATTTACAATTATCAATGCAAAACGGAACCAGACATAGTTCAAGCAGAGCTTATTTACATCCAATACATAAAAGAAATAATCTTTATTTAAGCAAAGGTAGTATGGTCACCAAACTTCTATTTGATGACACTAAAACGAAAGTAATAGGCGTAGAGTTAGAAAAACACAATATAAAGTATAAAATATTGGCCAGTAAGGAAGTTATCGTAACTGCGGGTGCTATTAACTCTCCACAGCTTTTGATGCTATCTGGAATTGGACCTAAAGACCATTTGGAATCAATGAAAATACCAGTTATCAAAGACTTACCCGTGGGCTATAATTTAATGGATCATATTGCTGCAGGAGGTTTACAATTTACAGTAAATCAGCAAAGTACGCCAGTGAATACTATGTACATTCTTAACCATTTGGAAATAGTATTCAAATGGATGAGAACACACAAGGGGCCGTTATCACTGCCTGGAGGTTGTGAGGCGTTAGTTTTTATGGATTTGAAAGATAAATTCAATACATCAAGTTGGCCAGATTTTGAATTACTGTTTATTGGTGTCGGTTTGAACTCCGATCCAATGGCATCACGTAATTTTGGATTCGACGATCAGATTTATGCAGACACATATGGTCCATTACAAAACACAGAAACATTTATGATCTTTCCAATGTTAATGCGGCCAAAATCTAAAGGAAGGATTTTATTACAAAGTAGAAATCCTAAAGTACACCCAACTATAATTCCGAATTATTTTGAATATAAAGAAGATCTACTAAAAATTGTGGAGGGAATTAAAGTGGCAATCGATATAGCGAGACAACCAGCCTTAAGAAAAATTGGTACAAAGCTATACGACGTTCCCATTGAAGAGTGTCTCAAACAAGGACCGTTCGGTAGTGATGAGTATTTCGCGTGCCATGCTCAAATGTTTACTTTTACGATTTACCACCAGAGTGGCACTTGTAAAATGGGTGATAAGAATGATCCATCAGCTGTTGTAAACGAAAGACTAAAAGTTCATGGTATAGAGAAGCTAAGAGTAATCGATGCTAGCATTATGCCAGAAATTGTATCAAGCCATACAAATGCCCCAGTGTTAATGATAGCTGAAAAGGGTGCAGACATGATAAAACAAGACTGGGGGATGTTATAATTAGAATTTAAGAAAATGAAACTATTCAATCTGTGATGTTAAATAGGTGTTATATGTAATTAAATTAATATTAGAATTTTTACTATTTATTAACTAATTTACAAATAGATACGTATTTGTTAATTCTTTTGTAGCTAATACTAATCTTTCGGGATCAATTTTGGTACTGAACTAGAATGAGTTGAACTAAATTTAGAGCACAAAAGGACAGAGAGGGCAATATATTTTTTTAATATGTGAAGCGAACATTGTTCTTACAGAACTTGTAATTTTCACATATTCTTATGGAATCTGAGCAGTGTCCGTGCGTGAAAGTAATTTCGATGACAAGGTTATCTGACCGCAGCAGGCATTCGATGCAAACTTTCATTCTAGAGCAAATTTAATTCGTATTATGAAAACAACGGTGGAATATGGGTTGTAAGGTGCAATATTAATTTATTTATGAATTACTGTAAATTAATTCTTAAGTGTACTGCTTAAAATAATAATTCTGACTGACGATCGATTGTCTTTAACTAGCCAAATGTGACAAGCGAATACAACATTGAATACATAGATAATTATATTCATATATAAAACGATGGGAAAACAATAAGGTTCACATCATCATTAATATTGAATTTCAACTAAACAATATATTGTTCAATATGTTTTAAAGATATTAAAGATAAAGAAAAGAAAAAGATGTGATGTATGTACTGAAAATATAAGTACGTAATATATGTATGTAGTCAAAAACTAATTAGTACTAAGAACTGTAACTAAGACATAGACGCGGCCTAGCTATGTGGAAAGCATGCCTTAAATACATATATAGGAATTGTTCTATGCTTTAGATATTGTTGTTAGTGTGTTTTAAATCGCCATTTATTAGTCACTTAGTTGCAGACATTGCTAGTCAATGTGCCAGTAACTTGTAAAACTAACTTGTACTGTAACTTTTATAAAAGATGGTATAGGAGAGATAATAATACAGTAATTAAAGTTAAAGATATACTCAATATATGGGAAACAAAATAATAATGCAATAAAGGCAAATACTTGTTTCAAACTTAATATTGTTTTAATTAATTCCTTGTATATTATTAAGTGATATGTCGGTATTCTATATTAAAAACAATATATTATGCTTAATGGAAATAACTACTAAAAAAATTAAGGCAAGTAGGTAACTAGTTTCTAGACATGTCAAAAGCTTTTGATTGTGTTGTGCACAAATTATTATTAAAACAACTTGAACATATAGGAATTCGAGGGAATGCATTGAAGCTAATGGAATCATACTTAAATAATAGATTTCACGCAACCATACTAGAAACGTTTGACCGAGATACAAGGACAATAATACGAGTACAATCAAATTTTGAAAAAATTTTCAATTGGTGTACCCCAAGGTAGTGTATTGGGACCTCTTTTGTTTCTAATCTATATAAACGAATTTCCTCTGATAGTTAATCATTTATGTATAATGTATGCTGATGACGCTACAATATTTTTATCTAAAGACAATCTAACTGACAAAGGCTTTATTGATGACATTTATAATACACTACACATTGTAATAAATTGGTTAGCATCTATTAATTTGAAAGTTAATTTGGAAAAAACAAAAATTATGGAATTCATAAACTATAAGAAAATGCCATTGGATTTTAATATTAGTATTAACAGCACAAATATAGAGAAAGTAACAGATATAAAATTCTTAGGTGTCACTATTGATACTCATATGAACTGGAAAACACATATTGAAAAAATAAATTGGAAACTTTCAAGTGGCTATTATGCTATATCAGTATTGACAAATATAACTACAACAGATGTTGCGAAAAATGCTTATTATGGATATATATATCCTTTACTCACTTACGGGATAATATTCTGGGGTAATTCAGTCAACGTGCAATCTACTTTCATACTTCAAAAAAAAATGTCTTCGTAGAATATATAATATCAATAGGTATGACTCATTGAGAAATGTGTTTAAGAATTTAAAATTTTTAACCTTGACATGTATCTATATATTAGAAATAGCTTTGTTTATGAAAGAAAATAAGGATCATTTTTGTAAAAGGACAGAAATAAAGAGTAATTTAAGATCGCAATATAAATATGACATCTGTACCGTGAGATCTTCTAGTTATATGTATAGTAAAAGTACCTACATAAGTGGAATAAAAATATTTAATCATTTGCCTGATAGCATCAAGTCACTGGATGCTGGACAATTTAAAACAACCTTAAAACAATGGTTATTGTGTAAGTGCTTTTACAACTTAGATGAATATTACCTTGGTGGAGGGGAGTGACAAATTGTTTGATCTGAGTTGTGTTGTAGATAGTTATTTTATATATATATTTTTTTTGTTTTTGTAATTTGGTTATTTGATGTAATTGTATATTTTAATTTCATATTGTACGTCCGAAATGGATAAACTGGTCGTTTCCATATATGATCTAACACAGTTATAGACAATAAATGCTTATCTTATCTTAGTTATCTAGATAAAATTTTTATAATAAAGAAATATAGTAGTGGACTACTCCTACTATGTAATTATTTATATTCTTTGTAAAAAAATCTAGAATTATACTTTTTCATTTTGTTATAGTTCAAACAGTATAAATCAGTATATTTAACTAGTTTCCTGAATGTAATTATTATAGTTAATAGGGCTGTAACATGAATTTTATGGTAAATAACATGTTTACATTATAAGCTCGTGTCCATTGCTAGTGCAATGCAACCTAGTCGAAATGAACGAGAAATCTTTATTTACCACTAGCTATGCGGTTACATATGCGTGATATTTGTGGTCTATGAGTAATTCTGATGAATAATCTGTATTATTGTAGTTTCATATCAATCAATTCAGTAGTTTTCGCACGAAAGAGTAACAAACAACTATTCACCCTCATCATATTAATAATGTGTTTAATACACCCACAGTCCACACGTTTAATAATAACTAAGTTCCTGGATGATTTGAATAATAACTGACCCGGTAGACTCCCCTGATTTTCCAGGCAGGACAGTCTGGTCGGGCCGGGTCCGCTACTAATATATAAGAGCCTGCAAGAATTGTAAGAGCAACGAATTGCGCTGTATTTTACGCTAATATTAAATCGTAGGAGTCCGTATGCAATAGGTATTTAAATAAATATTTATATTAGTCAAATAATTACAAATATAGGTAAATTAATAAGTAAATATTAATAAGTCAGGAAACAGTATGTTACTTTAAAATATGGATGCATTGGTATCTATGAAATAACTCAGTAGTCATATGTGTATGTGAATTTATGAAAACTAATATTTCTAAGAGCATTTTTTTATATTTAGTTATAAAAACAATATTTATATGAAAAACTTATTCTGGATAATCCATCGTTATCACCCAAATAAGTAAATATATATAAATAAAAATTAAAAATGGAGAGTTTTATATATTAAACGCTGTTCGATAGAATTGCTGAGTAAATTAAGGTGTACTTTATGCGGACAGCACCGCGTTATATAGTGATACACTAACAGCAGGCGCTAGTGATGGATAAACTCAAAAACTACTTGACCTATTTTAAAATTTCCTTCACCGAGTTTTGTATTAAATGTATGTTACATTATCAAGCACATAAAATTAAACGAGTATTTTATATAATACCTACTAGTTTTTAGGCGCGACTTTGCTCGCATTGAATTCATTAAATAACTTCATTTCTGGCTGTTAGATGGTGCTGAAATAGCAAAATGATGATATTTTATTTTTCTGTATTTTTAAATAAAAAGTATCCGATGTTCATTCTAATACTTCCAAGAACATGTGTACAAAATTTCATGATGATCGGTTCAGTAGTTTTTGTGTAAAAGCGTAACAAACATCCCTACTTTCACATTTATAATATTAATAATAATGATATATTAATTATTGAAATAATAGAAGGAGCTGTATAGATATTTTATATATTGTTGTATTTTAATATTATCTGTACCACTAGTACAACATATAGCATAACTGTAGCAATAATTACCCAAATAACGCAAGTGACACCGGTCTGAACCATGAACATTCATTCGTACAGCATGTTTTGTAGTTAAGGGCCAAAAAGTTGTGCTACTTAAAAATTACAAGATCTGACTTACAAAATTTGTTACATATTCTCATTTTATGAGAACAGTTTCGTACAAGGTCCTTGAGGAAACTTTCACCAAGACTTAATACACTGAAATAAATTGAATTATGTAATTTAATTTCTTCCGCAGTAGATAACAAAAAGATTATAATGATAATTGTATTTATTTATTTCGAATATCACATTATATTAGTAAACAACTTATAAACTATGTCAGTAAATTACAATATATATATCTCAATTCATATAGGTATGTCCACGAACAGATGTAGTGGTCCGCAGCAGTGCAATTATATCCAGTGCCTCTAGAATGGACAATCTGACATATTTGCTATTATAAAAATGGTATTTTAGTCGATGATCTTTAAAAAAAAATTATTTACCGGAAAGAGATTGTACAAAGACATGGGCACCTCTATCTCGCGTATTTCAGCCGCTAAGCAGCTTTGCAAGTTGTTTTGGTTGGAGAATGAGATATGGCAATAAAATATAGGATACAAAGGCATTATACCTTAGACCTCTGGATTGGCAACTGAATGACGTGATATCCGTGTTGTTCATTTATATTATTGCCGGTAGCCACTTATATTCTGGACAGTTTCCACTTATATTCAGATAGGTTGTCATACCAGTAACATTAAAATATAATTTATATAAATTGCGAATATTAGGTGTTGTGTATGTTTTTTTATTTTTTGATATTTTTTACAAATGTAAGAGCAAATAAACGGATGACTGATCTGATGGAAAGCTGCTGCTTAAACCCTTGTCTGTGACGTAACAGCACCATATGTATGTATAGATACATAGATATAGTTCTACGAAGGCGAGGGTTACTAATTACTTAACTAACCTATTTATTTGTTCCTCATTTTTTTATACAGACTTCCTATATACAAAAATTATATAGTTATACATATACATATAATTATATTATGTGATTAACATTTATGAAAAGAGGTTGACAACCTTATTCTCCACAAAGTTGAAAACTGGTTCTGCTTCTAGGCACTTCCTAGATGCTATAGATAGATGCTATAACTACTCGTGGTTCAATTACAGCTATTTGATAACAACAAACAGGTATGTATTTAGTAATATGTGACATGAGATTCTATATTCCATACAGAGCTTAAGTAATCATTACTGACATGCCCTTGCTTCAAACGGAATATATTACTGGGGTAAAATAGAGCAATTAATATGCCCAAAGAAGCTGAGGGTCCATCTGACGGTAAACGGTAACCGTCGCCATAATAAACAGCACTACGGACTCTCGTGATACAACTCATGCGTTGCTATTTCAAGGACGAAATGATCGTGTCTCTTTTTCTTGTAATATAACACCCAAATCTGCATGCTACAACCGAAACACACGATTTTATTTCAAGAATTTAGGCTATTGTCGGGTGCTTTAGACCTATAGCACTGCGACGTGCATAAAAATATTAAAAAGAAATAAATAAGTTGCTTCAGTTGTCGTTTTTTTTTCTAAAGACCGTATTCATTATTTACTATCTATAATGTACAAACATCCGCCAGTTACATTTTTATTATATATAGATTGAGGAAACTTCTATAATATATTCATATAGCGAAATCCTCAACGACTACTATGGCTCGAAGCAATTGTCGAGTCATATTTATTTACTAGTTAACTCTATTATTAATTTGTCTTAGATACACCTAGAATATTTTACGTCATACAATGCATACTAGTAACGCTATATGATAAACCTTTGTTTGATGTATGTAACAACAAAACGGCTTACAAAAACAATATTTTAGCTCTTGACAACAAAATTATTAGCATTCTTAAAATTTCAATATCCTAATATTATCAATTTTTTTGTTAATATTTAAATTCAAAATAATTTAGTCAATATAACATTTTCATCGCCTATGACAGTCAAGTTTTCTGTACAAATTTTTCTATACCTTCCAGTCCAATCTGTAGATTCAATTAAGAAGAACTGGCAAGAAACTCAACCGAATTTCTTTTTTTAAAGACAGTTTGTTCATTGTAATTATGAATACTTCGAAACCATTAACGTCCATTCTTGTACATTATGTATGATGTAGGACATGCTGTTTTTATTTTAAATTAATTAAGGTACGGTTCCAAATCGCTCGACACATAAACGTCTATTTCGACACCTAGCACCGCGGAATTACAAGCGGAGGACTTGCGCGCGACTTGCAGTCTACTCGCGACCACCTCGAGTTGCAGATATCGTAAAACAATTTAATATTATTTTGTCAATAAAAAATCAAATATTTATTGCCCGTGTTAAAATTATATTAATATCCACCGGGAAAGTGTACAGTGTCAAAATAACCCGCATGTTGTCACTATGACTAAACGCGTGCGTTTGATACAAGCGATCGGATAACTTGATTTAGTGAGCATAGAAAATATGTGAAAATTTTGAACTTATATTAGAATATCACTAAGATACTGTACTTTTAAATATATAACTGCGACGTGTCAATGAATTAAAAACAAAGATGTTGAAGGGAATATCAGTATTACACACACTAATGTTAATAACAATTATTTTTGGCCAAACAATTAATAAAAATGGAAAGATGAACCAGATTAATTATTCATTTCCACAAACGCCATTGATGAAAATGTTAGCTCAGACAATAGCACCTAATTTCGCCCAGCAAGATCCGACAGATTTATTCGATTTTTTAAGAGACAAATATCCACTGCCGAATGGTAAGTTTTTTTTCGATTGTAGTTGTTTAATGATAGTAATAATAGTAACACTAAACGAAACTAATACTAAAGCTGATAGAAATTCTTAATTTGTTTTCTAATTCATACATAAACATATTTATGAAGAAAACACCCAGAACAACATCAACAATCGTACTACAACAATTGTTTATATCGTGCGAGAATGGAACTCGCGATCAACGAAAGTACGACATCGTCAAATTTATATTTAATTATAAGGATATAACAAATATTAAATTTAAACATTTAAAAGAATTTATTTTATATGTTATGCTGTAGATGCACTAATTACCTACAGTACTGTAAACGAATCATCTACAGAGTGTATAGAAAAGTTCACTAGGCCAACTATTTTGTAACTGAAAATTACATAATATCGAGTCCAAAATACAGCAAAATATACTATTCATCATGGTCAATGTCATCATGACAATGCGAATACTATAATCACCATCAGCTTAAGATTATTTATATGTATGTATAATGTGGGAACAACCTGTATGTATATGAAAGAATAGAATAGTATATATTTATAAAAGATGTCAGATTTTTACGATGTAAGTCGACCTGGATTCATGTATTTTTTTTAACTATTCTACTATAGAACTTCTGCGGACGAAAGCGATAGTGAATATACATACACCGTTAGGGTTCGATACTAATCGCAGGTTATAATGATTTGCATCCCTGTTGAAGTGGGCAAGGTATAGATTGGAGGGGTAACTCCACGAACGCTACAGATTTGCTATTAAAATAATGAATAAAATAGAATAGAAAATAATTTATTCAAATAAACTTAATTTAAGCACTTTTGCATAGTCATAGTTGTCATTCTTATAATCTACAGCTCCTTCGGAAAGTTGACTCATCACAAGAAGAACGAGTAAAAAACTTGCGTGTTGCTTTTTTAAATAATCATTGTTATTTTACATTTACAATTTGAAACGTGCATACAAACCACCAACTAGCATTAATTTATTAGCTTCAGATATTAAGTACAAAATAGGATTAAAAGAGTCGTAGTGATTAGACCAGACCTGTCCCTACAAGCAGCACTCGTTCACGAGTATGACGTATGAGCCAGCCATCACTGCGCTCGACCATATTTTAGGGACCCCAATGACCCGGCTCAAAGCAAAATTAAAACACCTAAAAAAGCTTAAATTTGTATTTTAAACAGAAATTATTAGTTTACACCAATTTTCATTTTTAGTTAATTTCATAATCACTTCGTATGAAATAATTAAACAATAGTAGTAGTAAGTAATATTATATTGATAATTATAGTCATAAATAATCTATTTAACAAAAACTTCTCGTTAAATTCTAATTAGAACAATGTCATGATGATATTAATAAACTAATCGAACAAGTGGCATCGCAATAGGATCTGTTATTAGCACTAATAGGCGCTTTAAAGAGAGTAATTATTAATTAATTACATATCATATATATCATACTCTATCCTAATAAACTAAAATCATAAACGCGGATGTGTCTGTCTATCTGTTTACTATTGGTGAACGAATATTAATAAAACTTGAGATAAAGATATAGGATGTTGATGAAAATTGGATGAAAACCGATACAACACATCTTTTATTTTTAAAAAAGCAGACGAAGTAGCGGAAAATTATAATATAAAAATGAAAGTGTGTCTATCTGTTTACCTTTTCACTAAAAGGCTGAAGCCTAAATTAAATTTTAACTTGAAGATATGATGTACCCAGAGGCGGTAGGCTTTTTGTGGTATCTTTTATCTCAAAAAATCAGACAATATCGCGAGTAACAGCACTTTATAAAAATAATATGCAACACTTAATGTTGCATCTTATTATTTTACAATACAGGTTTCATTAATCATGTGTGTACAGTCGGCTTCATAAACTAAAATTCTATTCAAAAGCACTATAATTCGCGTAATAAAATTATTACGAGTTAGGTTAGTCAATAAAATGTTGGTAGTAAAATTTCAAATTTTGCATTTAATATTATCAAATTAATGAAAATGACTATAAATAGCAAGCTTATTCACTTCAGGTCATCGGTTACTTATAATAAGTTTATTTTCTTACGCATCGCAATGGAACAAGATTTGGACAAATAGATGAGGGAGACAGGAGCCTAAACTAGGTTCAGGGTGCATTGAGTCTGCAAGCATACTCCTCTCTATGAAATATAAAGCAAGATATGATAGAACGGAGAACACTTAAAGAAATTAATTAAACAAAACAATTAATAATTATAATAAAACACTGGTTTTCCATACAGTAATAAAATTTAAAAAGAGACAAAACGGTCTAGAACTCAGTGGGGGCAGTGAGTCCACCCATCACTGTCTCTGCTGTTCTGGTATAGCATTTACCAGCAAATTAGTACAATAAGAGATCGACGACGATAGCATATAAAGTTAAGTTCTAAACTACTACTAATAATTATATATTCCTTTATTAAATAATGGTAATCTATTTAAATTTAGAACATGCAATTACAAAGATTGACAACAAATATTATTAGTCTTATCCAATAATAATCTACGTAATGAAATATTCAAATTTTAAATATATCCTAGTTTAATAAATACTAGTTGGAATTTGTAATAAAAATGTTGATCATTCTTCTGGATCTATCTACATATATAAAACTGACTGTATTTATTAGTATAATGAAATAATTGTATCTTAGTTTCGATGGAAAAAAACACCTTTCGAAATTACTACACACGCTTTATGAAACCAAGCGTGTGCATGCCATGACCGAATTTCGATGAAGTGACCATAGTAAGAGGTGCAAGTAGAAGTTTACGAGTATAATTAATTCACTTTTAATGCTTGACATTGCCGATGCATCAAATATATCAGAGGCATATGGATAATAATTTTTTACGATAATATTCGATTTTAATTCATTATTATACTGTGTCCTAAAGTAATTCCATATGAATTTGAATAATTGTTAACTTCGAAATAAACTAATATTTCTGTGCTAATTCAACATTTTTAACCCCCGCCGAAAAAAGTAGACTGGTATAAGTTTAACTTATCTGTGTGTTTGTCTGTTGCATTCTAAATGAATAGACCTATTTTGATACGATTTGTTTTATTGGTCGACATCGTTCCTAGCTACACATATACGAGTATATACATCACATTATATAATTATTTTCATTAAGGTAAGCAATTATGTTAAATTTCATGAGTGAATAATCCCAATCAATTTCCTAAATAATATTTTGTTTATGTATTTATTGTCTTCACGTTATATATATAACAAATCATCAGAAAAAGCAAAAGGTTATTTTTATTACGGCTAATCATGGCCACGGCGTGAAGTTATAGACAGAAGCTGGTATGTTATATTGGACAATCCATTATGTTGTTGCGGAAAGGGTTTGTTTAGTAATTAGGCCTCGTAGCGTATTCCTAACAATGTACCTTATCAGGTCGCCTCTAAATCTCCTAGAAATCTATAGTGAAATCACTACGATAGGTTAACTGACCAATTTTTTTTTTTGGTTTTCATCAGGAAAATCCGTCATGGAGACCCAGTCGCCATAGGGGGCGAGTGGGTACTGCCGGACTCCTACCGGCTAAAAACCTGATGGTATACCTCTCTGCTCGTAGCAGGCGAGGTCGCGGGAAACGACATTCGTCCGTTTCCCCGCCTTGAGCAATGAGGTTAACTGACCTGCCCCTATTTTTATTTTACCATCCTCCACTAGCACCTCTCTAGCATGTGTACGTGTCAAGCCAGGTTAATGTATTTACATAGAGTTTCATGACCGTAGGTAAACTTGCGCACTCACTCAAGTTTTGGGTATATAAAAAAACAATGATTATAAGAGATACTCATGAAAACTGGTATTAATTTCTGCACGCCCCGGCCCAATCGGGCAAGAGGTACTGGACATTGACCTCAGACATGTCAGGGCTACGTTTATTTTGGTGGAACATTCAACTATATATGGGTATTCGTTTTATCTTAATATTATCATATATAGGATTTTCTGTATACAACAGCTATTTAATGAAGTATGAAACTACAGAGGGCCGGAGAGAGAAATATAGCTACAGAACCTTTGATAGTAAAGTAGATAGTAATTAACTAATCAGACATAATAATGCCAACAGAAAAGCTAATATTTAATGTATGGAGGGTGATTCCTTTACCGAACTCAAATATGTCCTATTTTTTTATTTCGGCTTGACTATTTGATTGTTTTTTGACAAATCTTGTATAAAGACGACTGTTTCCATTTACCATCAGGGACTTAGCTTTCAATTTCAATTTAAAAAATATATATTCTTGTACAGATCATTGACTAAGTGGTGACTCTAATAATATCGAAATATCCAATAAACCCTTGGGAAAATCGAATTGGGTTCAAAACAAAATGAATAATCAATTAATATATACCTACAATTCTCGTGTCATCATGTTTCACCGATATTAATGTTGTTTATATATTCAGTAAATCTGATAATAGGATGTCAACTATTAATCTTACCCCTAAGTGATAAGGGTGGTCCACCGCAATTTCTCTTACGCACTAGTGCGAAAACATATCTTGATATGTACGTACGAGGCCTATTACTAGGTTTGTAAAATCGGAATTCATTCATATTGCAGCCAGGTCAATGTTTTTAGAAGCATGCCACTATTGAAAGGTCGTTCACCGGCATTCTTATGTATTAATTTTGAGTACAGCGAACTCAAATGTCTATGTCTTCTATGATTATAAACAGATTAACCTAATTAAAAAGACATTAAGGGACATTAATAATACGTACATAATTAAAAACATAAAAGAGCAAACACCCAAGACTTCTAGTTACAAAAAATACTTATATTTGTTAAGTGTAAACACATATATTTAGCATTTTTATATTTAAGGGTAGTAACGGGCAAGTATAATATTATAATACTACTGTTCTATATTGTTAACTCTCTATTTTAAACTACTTCTTTTGATATAAAAATAAATATTAAAAGAAGTAGTTTTTCTGAGAAAACATAAATATTAACAATATTCTTAAAAATATCTCAATGATGAAGAGCTTTAGCCCTGTCTCATTGATTTTCTATTAAATAGCTCTCCAATTATTGTCAATCTTAAAACAATTTACTTTGATGTAATTTCACTGGTGTGGCTGGCACACTGCTTGGCAGCCGAAATAAGAAAGACAGAGGTACTCACGTCGGTAGCTTTGTAAAGTCTGGATATGACAAATATTGTACTTTATCTACTTTCTCATAGCATGTATGGATCCCAGTTTGTATTTGGTATAAATGCCACTTGTTAATATTAAAATGTTCCAGGTCTCCGATCACCGTACTCCGAATATGACTACGTCATTGTGGGAGCAGGTTCAGCGGGCTCGGTCCTCGCCGCTCGCCTCTCAGAAGACCCGAATGTGACTGTACTGCTTTTAGAGGCGGGAAAACCTGAGTCATTCATCACTGATGTCCCGAGTATAGCACCCTACTTCCAAAGAACAGAGTACACTTGGCCGTACTTCATGGAAAAGCAACCAAATGTTTGTTTAGGTAACTTGTTTATTAATAAAACTAATATCAACGCATAACTTAATTTTTAAAGCTGAAATTAGCCATAGGTTTATTTTAAATCAAGCTAAAGTTATTGAAAATTATAGTGACGTCACACATGCAAAGCCGTAACTAGTATATAAGCTTATAAACAGTATTCAAGTTCGAAGTAAGAGAAGAAATATGGGGTGCAGTGAAATTATAGGATATACGGGCACAGATTGAGAATACTACTTAAATAAATATATATAATAGAACAAAATCTTGAAAATAGATTACTTAGGTCTGGTTATTTTAGATTTTGCTCAATCAGTTGATCAAGTAAATATACTCACAAATTATCCCAGCTTCGTATACAGCGATCAAAAGTATATACAGATAGTAATAATAATAATAATAATAATCTCAGGACAATTCACACAGCGCCATCTAGACCCAAGTTAAGCTAGCTAAAGATTGTGTTATGGGTACTAGATAACTGATACAAATATATAGATAATTTATTTTTCGTAAATACATATATAATATACGTAAACACCCAGACCGATACAAACAATCATACTCATGAATACAAATAATGTTTGTGCCGTGCGAGGAATCGAACCCACAATAGTTCGCATAGTCGATGATACTTAGTTGATAATGAATAATTCATTGATAATAATAGATATTTGTACTGTCGCCATTTTTATTAAAGTTTTCTTGTGCCCCAAACTCTCTTTCTGTCTATTTTTATCAAATTGGGTCAATATTTTTCGTAACACACAGATCTACAAATTATCTGACTGACTGAAAATATATATTATGCTTCTTACTTCGTATAACATTAGTTAAAAATACCAATTTCGAAATCTTTAATGCAATAATGAAATTACTTAAACGTTAAAAGCCATAAAAAGGATATTCTTACAATTTATATTCCCTAATGGCACCTTACAAGAGTAGTTTTATGTAAAACTAAGTGTTAATTACATGTTTATTAGATACTTAAGAACTTATCATAAAATCATATATTAATATAAATATACTACTAGCGCGTTTGAAGTTACTGAACTATAATATATAACCTCTGTCCTAAAGTATTTTCTATGGAACTACAATGGCAAAAAAGCTGATGACCCTAATGGATTGTAGGATCAGCATCACGAACATCTCGTCGTCATGTTTCGCTTGTGGTATCCCTCGAGTGATGCCATTACGGAAAACTAAGATATGTCCCCGTACAGACTATATCTATTCTCATATAAAGAAAAAACTACTTGACTAATTACTAAAGAACCATATCTATACATAACGTAGGCATCTTTGTAAAATTTGGAGACTAGTTTTATAAAACTCCAATTGCGTTATCATTCTGAGGACTGTGGATTAATTGCTTTCCAATTTTTATTATGATATTAGTCCATATGATGGTTACCGTAGCATCACATAATGTGGCAAACGTGGCCTGTAATTTTACTGTCTTAAAAACAGCCTGATTGGTGTCTGAAATAAAGACACTGGACTTCGTTCTAAGTCTACCTAGGTTGACTCTTTGTCAATGCGATTTATTTGCAGGTATGAATAACAACAGATGTTTCTGGCCGCGCGGGAAAGCCGTCGGTGGTACTAGTGTTATAAATTACATGATCTACACTAGGGGCCGGGCGCAAGAGTGGGACCGGATTGCAGCTGACGGCAACTATGGATGGTATGTCACTTAAATTACTTTACAAGTCGTTAGAGGAGTAATTATTAATTGTACCAAAGACTAAGTCCATTATGGAAATAATTGAGATAAGTGACCTAATTTTAGCTTCTTTCTTTCATCCTGTTGTCTTGTTAGAAGATGAATTCACCATTTAAACATACTAATATCATTAATGTGAGTGTGTCTGTCTTTCTGTTTGTACCTTTCTCATTACTAAACAGATGAACGAATATTAACTTAAGTTTAGAGTAAATATAGAATGTGTCATAGGAATGGATATTTCTGTCATTCAAAATAAACGATGTTTCGGGAATCATCTAGTCATCCATTAAATGCTCCATATAATACTCCCTCCGTCTAATTGATCATCATCATCATTTTTGCCTTACCTCACACCACTAAGTAGGGTCTGCGCAGTACGGCATCTGGTTCCACTGATCCCTATCGGACGGTCATTATAATATTATATATCTGAATAGCTCTTTAATGTAATTTATGTATCTTCCTACAGGTCATATGCAGATGTCCTCCAATACTACATGAAGAGTGAACGAAACAACATGCGAGGATATGAAGATTCACCTTATAGAGGAAAATCTGGAGAACTAAATGTCGAATTTGTTTCATTCAGGTACTAACTATAATTACATTTGTACATAAAGAGGGATATAATTTGATATACATTTAGCTTTAACTCGCAAGTTGGTTTGCACAAATTTGCATCTACTATTTCATCACTTTTTAGATATTTTTTATTTATAGGTACATACAATATATATTTTCAAGTAAACTTTAATTACAATCCATTGAACCGCTTAGTCGAGATAAAATATCAAACAAATAAACTCAAAGACACACTTTTGCATATACCTACATATAATACTAACATTAATGAAAATATGTAAATACATTTAACTGCATAAAATTATGTCTATCTATAATCTACACAACCAACCATATATAAAATTCTCGTACATAACTATAACACAATGTACTTTATAGGTACTCTTATAATACTTAGGGTTCCATCAGATATTTTATTAACAAACTAATTCAATTTACACATATAGTGTTTAATTAAAATTTATACTTTTATAAATTTTAATTAAACACGACTAGACAACTCCCCTCGTAAATAAAAACTATAGATATGGTAACAAAATTAAAATTAATGATGTGTTAAACGTCGTCGATTGCAAAAAAACATTAAGTTAACTGTAGAACAAGGGATATACAAATATTTTGCAAATTACATGAATGTACAAACTCATTAAGCATAAAAACTGCATGCAATGTAAATGTATTTGGGCCTTTGACCCCTTCTAAAGTCCTTTAAAAAATAAAGTGTATAATGTGGAACCTTCAGACGCAACCGCGTTTCACACTTTGTAAATCTGTATTCTAATATATAGTATATTACGTAATATTCTTACTTGCATGATATTCAATGATGCTTTCTCAACAGCTGACAAGTTCATATAAAGTTACCATATTACAAAATGGTTTATACTATAGTATATACATGACGACCCCGGTGGTCTAGTTGTTTAGCACACCGCTTTATGTCCGATGGTCGCGGATTCGATTCCTCGCACGGCACAAACATTTGTATTCATGAGTATGATTGTTTGTGTCGGTCTGGGTGTTTTCTATGTATATTAAGTATGTATTTACGAAAAAAAATATCTATGTATTTGTATCAGTTGTCTAGTACCCATAACACAAGCTTTAGCTAGCTTAACTTGGGTCTAGATGGCGCTGTGTGAATTGTCTTGTGATTATTATATTATTATTATTATTATTATAGTGATTAAGTATCTTACTACTAACATCACAAAATATAAATAACAGCAAATAGATAAAAGATAAACGTTAAAGGTTAAAATTTATTTGTTTTTAAATATATTATAGTCTTGAAATACGACACATGTTAACGAAAGTATTGATTAAAAGCGATCCGATATTTACACATATATTAACAATAGTAGTATGCCTTTCCTGATGACTAAGTTGTCATATACCGGCTCAAATGATTTTACCATATGTATCGAAACATAGCCATACATACAGCAGAAACAGGATAAAATGAAAGGTAGCAATGAAGGCAACTTTGTAGGTCGCATTACATCTGATTATAACATATCCACGGTACGTGTAATTTATACCTATCTGACTAATTAAATTATTTTACAGAACGCCACTGATTGATGCCTTTTTGGAAGCGGGAAGGATTTTAGGTCATCCGACCATAGACTATAATACACCGGAGCAACTTGGATTTGGTTATTTGCAAGCAACAGTCACAGGAGGCAAACGCATGAGTGCCGCCAAGGCTTTCTTACATCCGAACAAAGGACGACCAAACCTACACATACTACCTGTAAGCACAGCTACAAAAGTGATAATCGACCCCAAAACTAAAATGGCCAAAGGCGTGGAATATGTTAGAAATAGATTAAGGTTAAAGGTGAAAGCAAAAAGAGAAGTGATATTATCTGCAGGACCAATAGCTTCCCCTCAGCTACTGATGCTCTCAGGCATTGGTCCAAAAAATCATTTATTACGTCATGGAATCCCTGTTATAGAAGATTTGCCGGTTGGTGCCACATTGTATGATCATATTACTTTTCCCGGTATTGTATTTACGCTTAATGAAACAAATGTAAGCTTAATTGAAAGTAATGCTGCAACACTGAATGCAGTTATCCAATGGCTGCAGTTCGGAGATGGCCCTGTAGCGACTACTGGTGCAGCAGAAGGCATAGGATATATAAAAACTCCAGTTTCTAATGATCCAGATAACGTTCCAGATATGGAGCTAATAAGTATCGGTGGTTCACTAGTATCTGACGGGGGTCCTCTAGGTAGCAAAGCAACAAGAAGAGGTATGATGATCAACGAACAAGTCTTCGATGGAGCCTATGGATCTATAGATAGTACAAACACATGGACCGCATTTCCGATGCTGCTGCATCCAAAATCAGTAGGTCGTTTAGAGTTAAAGAACAATAACCCATTCAGCCATCCGCGTATGTATGGTAATTATTTATCTGACCCAAGTGACGTAGCGACTTTTGTGGCAGCAATCCGTCATATTCAAGCATTGGCGGCCACAGCTCCATTCCAGAAATTTGGTGCACGCATACACCGCGCACAATACCCCGCTTGCCGTAATACAAAGTTTGATTCCGATGAATATTGGGAGTGCGCCGTGCGTACATTAACCGCCACATTACATCATCAGATCGCAACGTGTCGAATGGGTCCTGATAATGACCCTCTAGCGATAGTTGATCCAGAATTACGCGTGTATGGCGTTGGCCGATTACGAGTGGTCGACTCGAGCATTATACCCCGTACTGTCTCCGCACATACAAATGCACCGGCGATTATGATTGGAGAAAAGGCTGCAGATATGATTAAACGCACTTGGAGTTAACTTACGAATTAATAAAGTTAAAAAATATATTCATTTGTGTTATTTCATTGTATTATACGAATAACTTATAATTAAATTAACACCAATGTGTGTTGGCGCATAAAAATATCGAATTAAATGTACTCGTATACAACGGTTATAAGGAACGGGAACCGATATAAATAATGGTATAATGCCTTCTTTGATACTTAACTTTTCGTTTCTATTTTATATCGCTTATAAATATTTTCTTCAGACCACTTTCAAGAGCAATAAATTTTTCATCTATATGTATTTAGTTAGTATTACACGAGAGATTCTAAATATATGAATATAGATACTGTACATAATATACATATATACGGTACTGTGGAGTAGAAAATTATATCCAATCTACATAGTACTTACTATTCCTTCTCGGAATGGTTGGAATTCGTTATTTTGGAATGTCTTAGATTACCGGAAAACTGCAATTGAGACATTTTTATCCCTTCAATATTACTTCTACAATGTAAGGTGTACTTCTACAGTGTAAGGACCAAAATGGTCTGAATTATATGAATTTTCTTAACATTACAAGTCTCGGTATTATGACATCAGAAAACAGTGTCTTCTACAACAGTACCAATTGTCTAATATTATTATGCTCAGACTAATATATAATTCAATTGCCTGCATAGTACCGGTTCCTTGTTATCAATCTAAGATGAAAAGATTGCCAGCTTAGTACACAAATAAAACGTGCTGTGAATAAAATAATAAACATTAATTTTAATTTTCATTGTAATATTTTTTACTGCTGGTTATAAAAATATATATGTATAATTTTATACTGGTGAATAACTGTAAAAAACTTAGTGGAAGCGTTTTGTTTGTGCAACTGGAATGGAAAACAAGCTGGGCAACTAGCAATCATCGTCTATATACGGACGAGCGGCCTTACTTCCGATGGTCGCGGGTTCGATTCGTCGCACATTCATAATCCACGTAGTATGTGGTTAATTTCTAGAAAATTTGTGTAACAAATCAGATATAATCCTCAATTTATCTTCGACTGGTCCAGGCCAATGTAACTCATTGGAGCATTTATCATACAAACGCCAATGAAATATGATATCAACCCCATTATACGAAATGACGTATATATTAACAAAACAGATATGTGCATGCATAGACTACTTATTAGATAATTATTATGCGCTTTGCAAACTGCAAACAATGCCTTATCAAGGATCAAGGCCATTTATGAGTTTTATGAAACCAGTAAGGTTAACAACCGCGTCAGTATGTCGCACAAAGAATGAAAGCCGACAGGCAGAGATTAATATAGTGCTTTAGAGATTACATAATAAGTTATGTTCTTAACATAATAAAGTATATAAATTCGCGTGTACGTACGTATATATTATGCGTGCCTACACATACTAAGATATTTATATTAGTGCACCGCAATCTTTCTCTGCATCACATATGGTTGACTAGTAGATAACGCCGAAAGGTGTTAAGTCCGCCATATATACAAATAACATTTTTTTTTATATTACGACGTTGGCAAACAAGCCTACGGACCACCTGATGATAAACGTTTACCGTAGGCTATGAACGCCTGGGCGTCATGTCGGACAACCTCCTCCTATGTTCCAGACATTGGGAGGTTTGGGAGGTCCCCCATCCTCGTGGATACGTCCGCGGGGAACGGTGGCCGAGCAATGATTTGGTTCTGGTACGACCTGAGCGGGATGGTAGTAATACCTTCGGGTTACTGCTACCAGGTTGGCTGATAGTCCAGCAAAGGGAGGCGGCGCAGGCAGGGACAGGTGGGGCATGGGCCCCGTTTGCCGTCCACACAACAGGAGCCGAGATCGGGGGGAGGCACATCCCGTATTCCGGTGTGTCTTCCCCACGGTGGGCATGGGCGGGGGAACTGGGAAGAATTCCCCCCACGTTTTGAGCAAGGCCCGCTTGCGGGCAACTGCTGCTGGGCTCCCGCGATCCTGGTACTGTGGCGACGAGGAGGAATATCGTTTTTTGATGAGTAGGAGTCACACAGTACCCGTCCGTCCAACCCCTAAGACGAGTGGGCCTACATGAGGGATTTTCCCCACGTAAAAATCAAGCTATAAACTCCTAAAACACCAGGAGTATCACTTGCGTGTTGCTAATCTTTAAGAAACCTTAATATACCCTTCTTAAAAAATTCCGAATGATACTCGAGTCCTCCGTAATGCCAACGCCCCACAGACGTTCCTTCTGATTAGTGTCATCAGGGTACGTCATTCACGTCATGGAGAAAATCGACAATATAAAATTATCCTTAAGAATTAAGTCAAAACATAATATAGTATCTACTAATTGTAAAATAAGTGGATGTATTGTTGGTCGCTCATATAAATATATATGATAAGCCACGTATTCCAGGCTAACTAGTACTTGGAAACCATAATTTATGTATAAAATTACATGAACAGCACAACGAACATTACTATGTCATAGGTACCGCTTATGAGTTGTTATTTCTATAAGCTAAGGATGTCATTCCTCTGTAATATCTCATCCTTAAAATATATAGAGACAACGTATAATGTCCACCTCGTTTATAGATCTAGCTATAGATTTTTAAATTTTAATGACTTTTGTTTTTTACATCTACTAGGTTCACAAACATTAAATTGACATCTGTCAATTTTAAACATAACTGTAGGTGTACTGACTGACCTACAGTTATGTTTAAAATTACCCACTGGGGTACGAATATTTTTTTAACAATAGCTGTTTAAGTTTATTACTACAGTGCAAACGTGAGAACGTCCCTTTACAATAAAGGTGCCTATAGATGTGTTTGTATTTATTAATCTTGTTTAATTTGCTAAAGACGTAGTTATTTTGCCACTTATCCGCGTTAAAACTGTTGTCTGTGAAGAGAAAGTATATATAAGTACAATTGCTGTATAAATATATAAACTAGACAAAATATATAGTTTAAAAAAACTAATAGAATAAATCGAGAATATGGTCTAAAAATGATTGACAGGTTGACATTATATGTCAATTGTACCAAAAGAAACTAGTAACGTAGCATAGTATACAGCAATTATTACTATTACCATTTGGTTTACTAGACCTGGTTTTTACTAAAGCCGTAAAAGTAACAAACGAAATACCCGTATATACACGGGTATTCTATTTGGTACTTTTACAGTTCTAGTTCTAATTGATTTAATAATTACTCTGTATGTACTCCATGTGGTTTGGTTGGTATGACGATCATCAACGAAGGAGACACTAAAAAAAATTTATACAAAATATGCAAATATATATTTTGTATTATATTTCATCGTTTTATATACTATAACATATACTTATAGCGGTAATGTAATTCATGTAGGAAATTAATAAAATAAAATTAACAGATTAAAATTACCTGTAACAATTTTGAAAATAAAAATATTTTACTAATTTAGAAGTTATTTACCTCTAAACAATACCCTACCTCCGATTTCAATTATTAATTTATTAATAAATAGATTATTGTTGTTTGATTAATATCAAGAATATGAAATATAAATTCTCTATATTAATATAAGTATACATGCACGAAAATTGTTTGGCACAACCAATGTTCAATTAAATTATATAATAGTAGGCTAAAAGCTGACCGGGATAAAAAATAGCCTCATTCCTTACCCAAACAAAATACTGTAATAAAACGCGAGATCGTATTTAACAATTAGATTATGGAAATAACTACATTATGAGGTTTTCTCTAGATATTATCTATCATCTATCATGGAGTTTTCAGAAAGCATGTAGGTATTAAGATTTCTTAATTACCTGTAACAATTTTCAAAATAAAAATAGAAAGCGATAGTATATTTTAATTATTTACGTTTCAGTTAATGTATTGTGTCATACAGCTGTTGTGTATATAAAGAGGTACCTCCGTTTGTCCTTATTTTACATCTCTAATTGTAAAGAATATAATTACACGCACAAAAGATTTTCACTTTATAATTATACTATACTGAAGTCTTACAATGATAACAAGCACCATAATTGGACCGACATGCATCCTACAAAAATTACTTTTATAACGCTATGTAGTTTGCAATTATCGCCATCAAATAAACGGGTAAAACATAAATTAATGTAGCATATTAGAAAAAAATGCAGTAACTACAAACGGAAGTATTTTGCTTCAGCTTCAGAAGCGTAATTGAATAAATAATAGAATGCTTTATAATTTGATAAAAAACCAAAGATATCTGCTCTTTTGCTTATGTTTAACATATGTTGTGTACGTTTAAATAAAGTCGACTCTAAAATTATAGACGGAAAAAACACTATTAATTGCAAAAATAATAATCAAAATCTTTGCAATAATGGTAATTCATATCACACAACGATATTATTTTAAGTTGGTTGAATATATTTACCTACCTACACACATAGATACCGTCTAACAGGATATTTTTATAGTGCCTCAAAGTCACGCAGAATCCGGTTTATTTCATCAAGGGACAATAAACTGCAAATTTATAATAAATACTATATAAATTTATAAAAAATATAAACTATCGGACGCGCGCTATTTCGTCTGCGTTAATTATATGCTCCGCTCTGATATTGGAGGAGGATAGAGTAATATCATATAGCCTTCCTCTATAAAAGGTCTATCAAGCACTGAAATAATTTTTCAATTCGAACTATCAGCTACTCAGATTAGCGTGTACAACTAAAGCTATTGACTAAAAAGGGAACTTAACTTGCAACGACAAACCATAAATCGATGCAATAATTAAGTGTATTGAAGCAATTAACACTTTATTCCGCAATATATAATATAATAAAATCATAAAACCGAAACGAGACAAAAACTGTGTATCCGTTTGCATGTTAAAGTTTCACGTAAAAATGTCGGGTGTAATTAGGATGAAATTTTCATAGAATATTTTGTAAAATATCGCACAATATAGTATAATATAGGCTAAATAAAATGAATTATTTTACTAATTTAGAAGTTATTTACCTCTAAACAATACCCTACCTCCGATTTCAATTATTAATTTATTAATAAATAGATTATTGTTGTTTGATTAATATCAAGAATGTGAAATATAAATTCTCTATATTAATATAAGTATACATGCACGAAAATTGTTTGGCACAACCAATGTTCAATTAAATTATATAATAGTAGGCTAAAAGCCGACCGGGATAAAAAATAGCCTCATTCCTTACCCAAACAAAATACTATAATAAAACGCGAAAACATATTAAACAATTAGATTATGGAAATAACTACATTATGAGGTTTTCTCTAGATATTATCTATCATGGAGTTTTCAAAAAGCATGTAGGTATTAAGATTTCTTAAGGTTCGCCAAAGCGCTCGTGACATCCCCGGTGTTTCAGGCGTCCATAGTCTACGGTAAATGTTTACAATTAGATGGACCGTATGCTTATTTGCCACCATCGGTGTATAAAACAAAAACAAACAAACAAACACTCACTTTTACAATATTAGTTTGTATTACAAATAAATCTAGTACTGTCCAAATAAGACTGATATTGGCATGCCTTATCAGTTACCAACTGTTGTCTGCAGTCACCTTAAGTTAACTGTAGTTCAAGTTTCGAAGTGGTGTGCCCTCGGCAACCACCCGTACACATCTACCAGACCGCTCGTGTAGTGACCACGCGTTTGTTTTAATTTTATTTTGTTAAACTTCTTAATGAACTAGTGAAAATGATGCTTAAGTTCAAAGTGATATTATTAATTTTTTTAATGACGTCGAGTTACGCTGAAAATGAAGCATACGTTGATACTGAAGGGGAATATGAAACAATTGATGACAGTCTTTTTTCGGAGTCAAAAAAGAGCAGTTCCAGAAACGGACGGCTGTTTTTCCCATATCAACATTCTATAGCAGATTCTATATTCGAGGCATTTGGCAAAAACGGCATAAATAAAAATACGGCTGACTATTTCGCATTTTTGAGAGATTCCTACGATTTGCCTGACGGTAAGTTTCTATACCTTTACGCCAGATCCTTTGTGGTGTAAGCAGATAGCATCTAATATTTTAAATATCCCCGTAATGTATTCTAACATTTAGTATGTTAATAAGCTCTAAAATTTTACATGTCAATTCAAATAATGCCTTCATACTTCAGCTCCAATAAGTGCCATGCTTCAAATAATGGCAATGCCATGTTTGACTACATAACCACAGGCATCGGATGCCAATTACCAAATAACTCAGAAAAAAACACAAGATAAATAACTTTAAAGCTTAATGTTTTAAAGTCGATATCCCATGTTTTTAATCATGCAGTTTAATGCATTACACTATTCGTATTCCATAAACTTTGTGAAACAAGTGTCGCACTAATAGCGAAGGGCGTAGAACCCCTAGTAATTTCACTAGTGGTAATAGGAGTAAAGCTACGTATTGCACGTTTAATAATTGACTAAAAAACAATAATGAAATCAAATGGAATCGATCATCATATATTTCGTTTTTTCTGTTACATACGTTCTTTTTGACACACTAATTATATTATTTACTTACTCAAAAAACGTTTTACGTACGTGACCCAACTAGAGAAATGCAAGATGTTCTCTACGTTGTATTACCTGAAAAAAAGGAGCAATATTAGAATCATTTAAAACATAATTTGGTCATTATATAAAGGCACAAAACCATGTATAAAATATATTTATACTAAATCTATATTTAAATCCAAAAAAATCAGATGAAGTCCCGGGTAACAGCTACTTTAAATAAAGAAGCAAGTTTATATGTACAAAGCAATGAAAGTCCCGAATATAAACTTTTTTGCTGTGAATTCATTTGCAACATCTCAAAATTTCAGGTTTGAAGTCACCTCTACTCGAATATGACTTCGTTATCATAGGCGCAGGTTCAGCTGGAAGTGTTTTAGCTTCAAGACTTAGTGAAAACAGAAACACTACAATTCTATTACTGGAGGCGGGAAAACCTGAGATGCTGCTCACCGACGTACCAGCACTCGCCCCGTACTTCCAGGCAACAGATTATACATGGCAATATTATATGGAGCCACAGCCCGGTGTATGTATGGGTAAGTAAGCATATTCATAATATTAATTCTAGAATTAAAGCCTTGCTGTTCCCAAGTATCGAAATATTTTAATATTAATAGAGAATTTCAATTACCTTACAATAAGATACCAAGATACTAAGTATATGATTAGCTTAGCTATATTGTTAGCAATATTGGTTAGCTTTAAATGAATATAAAAAATTACATGCAGATTTTGAAAAGATTTATTCGCTGTTTATGACAGGTATGATAAACGAACGGTGCTTTTGGCCCCGTGGAAAAGCTGTGGGTGGTACTAGCGTCATAAATTATATGATTTACACAAGAGGTAGACCTCAAGAGTGGGATCGAATAGCTGCTGATGGAAACTATGGATGGTAAGAAATTACTGGCAGATTCGATTCTTTGGAAATATTTATTTATTGGTACACTAATTTTGTTAGATTAAGAAGCCCTTTTGAATTTCTTTAATTAACGCGATTTATATATACATATACGTATCTATACACACAAATAAGTCTGAAGTTATATTAAAATAATAATACACCGTCACAACTGTTCTTCATGTGAGGTAATCAGCGGCATTATTAGTGCCGGCGTAGCGGCAAACGCAGCACAACATGTTCGCCCACACTTCTATTATATACTATGTATATTTAAATCCCACGACGCAGGGGGCGGTCTTACAACTGTTGATTTTACTTTTTGTTTATCATAGGTCTAAACTTATGACCTCTGGGTGATGACTAACCATCACCGGGGATTCAGACCAAAATATAAATTGACTAAAATTCTTTCTGTGGGTATTAAATAAAAAATATGTATAAACAATAACCTCGAAATTAATACAAGGCTATCGTTTCATCAAAATAATGGGACAATATGATGCGTCATAACAAATAAATGTGAGTAACATAATAAAAATATCACTGGTTCGTCTACAATGATTAAAAATCAAGTCACGTATCTAATTCAACTGATAAATTCAACACAATGAGATATTACTCATGGTATTATGAATCTTAAATATATCTAATCTATATTTCTAGGTCCTACAATGACGTATTAAATTACTACAAGAAATCTGAAAAGGCTGATCTCGATGGCTATGAAAAGAACCCCAACAGGAACCGTAATGGCATTCTACCCGTACGATTCGTCCCAAAAAGGTATTCACATCTATAGATCAGAATTTTTACATTGTCAAAATTCAATTTCATAAAGCTACTTAATATTGACTTATTTAGAAATTTACATGATCTGCATATATCAGGTTTATCACCTACTTTAGTAGTTAAGTAGAAAGAAAGAAAGAAAGAAGTAGCTTGCTTTGCAAGATGTGATTAGGTTGAAGGACAATGAAATTACAAGATATGGAGACATATTTTAGTCCTCAGGAACGGCAACCAGGTGATCCAGGTGAGATAGATTAGCTTGTCTGCCATTCCAATTACATTAAAAAAAACGAACGCCGAATGTTTTATTTCCAATAGAATATATTTTTTTAAATATATAAATATCTTCTACTTTTCAGAACAAAATTAATAAAGGCATTTCTGCAAGCTGGTGAAATCCTGGGACACCCAACCATAGATTATAACTCACCTGACCAACTTGGATTTGGTCATGTACAAGTAACAATAGAAGCAGGTCACCGCGCTAGTACTGCAAAAGTTTTCTTGCACAAACAAAAGAAAAGACGTAACCTACATATTCTACCTGAAGCCACAGCCACAAAAGTAATAATCGATCCACAGAGCAAAGTGGCATATGGAGTTGAATTTTCAAGAAATGGTCGTCAATATTTAGTAAGGGCACGCAAAGAAGTAATTTTGTCTGCAGGACCGATAGCCTCCCCACAACTTCTAATGCTTTCCGGTGTTGGACCTAAGAATCACTTAATTTCAAAAGGTATACACGTTATTGAAGATCTTCCAGTAGGAAAAACGCTTTACGATCATATATGCTTTCCAGGAACAATATTCACTCTTAATGTAACAAATGTAAGTGTCCGCGAAAGTGCAGCAACAACTCTAAGTTCCATCGTCTCTTGGTTACGAGACGGCGACAATGACTTGGCAACTCCTGGTGGAGTAGAAGGTATAGGATACATTAAAACACCAGTTTCTGATGATCCAGATGAAATTCCTGATATAGAACTAATATCAATAGGAGGATCTTTCGTTGCTGATGGTGGTCCGACCGGGAGTAAAGCTGTAAGAAAAGGTATGAGAATAAGAAACCAAGTTTTCGACCAGGCCTTTGGACCTATAGATGATACAGATACTTGGAGCGCATTTCCAATGTTACTGCATCCAAAATCAGTAGGTTATATAGAATTAAAGGATAGAAATCCATTTAGCCACCCTAAAATGGTTGGAAATTATCTGACTGAGCCGAGTGATGTAGCTACATTTGTGGCTGCAATTCGACATATACAAAAAATAGCCGCAACGGAGCCATTTCAAAAATTCGGAGCGCGTATATACCCAGCTGACTATTTGCCGTGTCGTTCATACCAATTCGATTCAGATGCTTATTGGGAGTGTGCAGTACGAATGTTGACTGCTACACTACACCATCAAATAGCAACATGTCGGATGGGTCCGGCCGGGGACCCCCAGGCTGTAGTCGATCCCGAATTACGAGTATACGGCATCAGTAGATTGCGAGTGGTCGACTCCAGTGTCATACCGCGCACAGTCTCTGTGCACACTAATGCACCAGCAATAATGATTGGAGAAAAAGCTGCTGATATGATAAAAACTACTTGGAGTATTTAAACTTAAATTTTATGTCCTGCGTTATAGCTATTTCTATCGTCAGCAAAATGTTTGCGGTTGTGTTCCTGATCGAAGGCTAGATATGGCACTAAAATATAAAAGTCCATACTCTACTAAGGAGGTTATGCCTCTAAGGGCATTATAATTTCCTGGAAAGTCAACGCATAGCAAAAACATCGCGAGAATCACAATGTATTTTTCATATTTGTAGAGATGATCATGTACATAAGTCAGTAAAAGAAAAACCAATTGGGTTATTTATTTAGCACAATATATTAAAGGACAATTAGTAATTAAGGTGATTAGTCATTCAAAAATATGATTCAATCATATTTACTATGTAGCGACAAAAATTTAAGGAGATAAAAATGTAAATATGAGTAATGTATAAAAAATGTTTTATTTCACAATAAAATCACAAAACACAACACTACCAACTATTGGATATAAAAATAATCCCGATCTATCGATGATTGTGGTAGTCCTTTGAAATAAATGCAATAAATAGGAAAGGAAGACAAGCAACATATACATTAATAATTCTATCATTTCCCATAATATATATCTTACTAGCTGTGGCCGCGGTTACACCAGCGTAAAGTTATTGTAAAGTTACATCAAAATCCGTTCCGTAGTTTTTGTGTTAAAGAGTAACAAACATCCATCCATCGATACTTACAAACTTTCGCGTTTATAATATTACCACAGATAATATAATATTACATAATATTACTAAGCAGTAAGATTCAATATATTGCACCTTATTATAATTATACATGCGTTCTTTAATACATCATTAAATGTTTTTTCTTGCTGTACATTACAAATAAACTATATTCTATCTATCTATCTATCTACAAATGTATATCTATTTGTACATACCAATACAAAAAAAAACCAAGTTATCTGTGTGTTTAGACTAACAGAAAAAAAATCAGGAAGATCATTTCAAATATAATTTAAAAATGTTGTAGGTATACCGTACCTATACCACGTAACATAATCACAAAAAATAGAGTTGAATTTAGATCCTATTTTTTTATCCCATTTTATTTTTTTGTATTACAATTATTAATAAAGCTATATTTTATTATTTAAGTTATTAATTATTTATCTGAGAATGCGATTAATTATAAATCCAACCATGATTTTTCATAGCCTCTACACATTGCTATGACTGATTCAAAAGGCGTCAAGATATCCTTATGTTAAGTACCTATGTATGTACAGTATACTATAATAATACCTCGATGGTCTAGAGGAGTACCACAGCGCTTTACTTCCGATGGTCGCGGGTTCGATTCCTCACACGATACAAAGATTTGTATTCATGAGTCTGACTGTTTGTATTCTCCAGGGTATTGTTCTAAGTGTATATTTGTATCTATGTAAGTATATCTATCAGATGTCTATTACCTACCCATAACACGGGCTCTGACCAATGACTGATGGCGCTATGTGAATTGTCCTAGGATATTATTAATGAATGATTATAAAAGTATTTATCATATTCGTTTATTATTCGTAAGATGAAGTTTATCAATGTATCATATATATTGATAAACTTCATCTTACGAACTATGACTGAATATACCAGGATTAAAGACCACAATTCTGGGATTACGAACTCGTGATATTTTTTGTACATTATTTTTGAATAATCTTCGTATTAAAAACATTGTACCTATATCATTTATTTATAATATTATTAAACGTCATAATATGTATAGGTACTATATAAAAACTTTATAAAAACGCTTTCATATACATATTATTTATTAGGTAAAATATTTGAGTTGTTTGGTCACCATTCACTCTATTTCGAACACTATTTTCAATCATATCTATTACAAGTTAAAAATCTACGCTGATATCAACAAAGGTATTTGGTCATCCTCGTGATAATAAATTTTGACAAATATTGTATTAGTCACTTTATTATTAGTCAGTATATAATCTGTTACAATTCTAACTAACAAATTAAGCCCATATTTAGCTATTTTAGGCCGGATAAATAACAATCATCCAAACCTAAAGCCCCTCTTTAGGCTTAGACTAGTGACCCCATTGCTAGCAATCTACCATTTCGGGTAGACCTCGACGTGGTTCCCCGTTGAAAGCAACCTGGTTCATTTCTTCATGCCTCCATGCTCATCTTATCATACAGCATACGCCAGCATATACTGGTTATATGCTGGCGGGGCACCTGTGGAGTACCGCAGACGGTTGTACCATTTCATTACCCACTAAAAAATCATGCAAACTTTCACATTTGTAATCACTACATATTATAAAACAAACTTCTAACCGAATGGATTCTTATGCGATTTACATCTATCAGTAAACTGATTCCAGAGGAAGGTTTGTGTGTAGCCTTTTAAGTGAAGCCTTTGTGTATATAAATACAAAAAGGCTTAACGAAATTTACTGAAAAACATCTTACAATTATTTGTAAGATGTGTTTCAAGGTGTGTTGAAGGATGACTTTACAATTATCTCAAACTACTGCATGGATTTTCATGCGATTTAAGTACATCTATAAACACAATTATTCCTCTGGAATCATTGTGATTTTTGGAAGTCATTGTGTGTTTGGGAATAGAATTTGTTAAGGTTTTGTGTTAGTAGTTGAAAACTGTGAAATTACAGGATAGGAGCCATGACATCTTAGTAATTTGGAATAAGAACTTAAGACATCACGGTCGTCCCATGATATAATGATAACGTGATGGCCGTAGCGCTGTTCCTGTAGGTACATATATAGTCGATGATTACCACTTACAATCAAGTGGGCCGTCAGTTTGTTATACGTAATTTTCCCATCCCATTGATCAACGTAGTAATCATGATTATCTTTTACTCAGTACTTAATTAACGTATATATTTATTTCCTTATTTAAGCTTTATTAAATTATAGAATATCGTAGAAAAGGTAAACTTACATGCATTGTTATATACATTAAACCCTGGTTTATACCACTTAACAACATCTAGTCTTAACATTAGATAACATAGTGTTTATTTATATAAAAAATAGTATAATAAGTTGACGTCAAAAATAGTTTTACGAACAGAATATTAAATGGGTTAAATTTTAGGCCAGAAATATGAAGGACATTTGTGATCTAAGGATAAAGGTAAACAATATCAAGGCTGCTACACTCGGTATCGTCGGATAGGACAGTCGTTGATCGTGGGACAGGATAACAGCTGACAGGAAAGGATGTGTTTGTTGAACATAGACACAACTGAGTAGCTGAAATAAATAAAGAAATATATTAACACCTAAACTTTAAACACGTGTTTACTTTCACCGTTTTATAAACAATAACATTTAAATTAGGTTAATTTTTTATTACAAATACTCGGAAACAAATTATGATTTTCTGTAGAACAAAAAACGGACAAAAATAACTACGTAAACTCTTATTGTACTCTATGCGTATACTTATATATATATATATGCGAGACTTGGTAACGTACGGCTAATATTATTGTAGCAATGTAAATACTAAATGAATACATTATACATAATAACTATTTTTTTAATATAGTGCAATCTGTATTTCTCGTTGATAATGCAGGTAGGTGGCAACATTGAATATCATCCATAAATATTTGAAATCGATTACGTATTTATTCTCGTATGGAGGGATGATAATATCAAAATAAAGAAATAATATTAGCTGTTAGCAACAAATATATTGGATTTTACTGAGCATATTTTAACATTTTCATGCCATAGGCGCCATCTATCGATGTCAAGGCAAATCAGCATCCAGATTTTTTTTAAAGGATAAGAATTGAGTGGTGCAGCCATTTGCGCTAACCGTTTTTGTGGAGTATGATAAGAGAGAGACCTAACCCACTGATTAGGTCTCTCTTATCATCCTCAATGGAGGAGCATAAGGTCAGGTCAGTGTGCCCATCATAACAGATTCACGGGGAATTAATCACAATGATTTTTAGGGGGAACTGCGTCTCACCCTGACATTGTACATTGCTAGCATTGAGGTCCTTGCAGTATGTCTTAATAATAATTTTACTTACTAGTTATAATTTGTATGTAACATTTTATAATACTCTGTACATAACACTGCTGTAATTATCAACTTATCAACAACTGGAAATATTTTGTTTAAGTCATTTTAGACAACATTCTTCTAGAAGTATTATAAAGTAACATCTATAACATTTTGCAAGTGGGTATATTATAATATGTGGAAATATACATACAATGCATATTTGGAATTAGATGATGTTACAACATTATATCACTCCACGTAATAATATATGAATACACTATATATATGTTTATTTATGTACTTACTATTAAAACTTTGAACTGTAAATAGTTTTAAATTTTATAATATTTTATTCAAATAAATTTGGAATTCAACTGCAACTGTTATAATAATGTGTATGTTTTTTGTGATGTTGAGGTAATGGTTTTGTTCTTGTGATCCAAGGAAATCACCTTGTTATTGAAACATGCAAAAAAAATTACTAATGTCAATTATTAGTATAAACACAAATGTAAACATAAGATATGATTTATGTAAATGGTTTATGTGAGATCCTTATTTAAAAACCCTTATTTTTAAATAACAAATTTTTAACCAAAGAAAAATACCTAATATTATTTTAAATATTACAATGCAAAGTTAATAATAATGTTAATGTTACACAAACCATCACTTTAATAAACTAATAAAAAGTTAATGCCTGTAAAATATTCATTCTAAATATTAACTTTTTGTAACAATGACTACATAAATTAATAGTTCATAACTTAAATTTTATAAAGTCAGATATCAATAAGAATATTAACATAAAAATATGAAGATATATACATTTAAAATTCTTTACACATCATATCACCCTAGCAACTGTTATCATGATATAAATATTTTTGAATTATAACATTTCTCTATGTAATCTCTTTTTCCTTAGCAATGATTCATTCATAAATAAAATTGCACCACAATTGTAGGCAGTGTATATTCTAATCAACATAAGTGATCAGCCTGATACAAGTACTAATCGACCTTGACATATAATTGAGCTTGTTGAGATAAACTGTTTCATCCACAAATAATTCTTTTCGTCTAATACATTTAAGTGATATAACAATATATTCTGAATCAAACTATGTTTAGCGCATAACACAATCCATGTTAAACAGAAATAGTGCTTAGTTATCTATTAACTCTAGAAACGGTAGGAATTATTCTAATTGAATTCGTAATTAGTGTTCCTGTGCCATCTTCAAGCAAGAAAATACTATTATTATGTGTAATACGTAATAAATTGTCGAGCGGTGAGCAACGTTATTTGCTACATAGTCAAATAAGAATATACATAAGAAAATTATGATGGTAAAAAACAAGGAAAATGATTTAGAAGTTGTATTATTATTTTACCTGAAACTATCAGCGCTTCATTGGGACCGACGGTGTGAATATTACCCATGTTTTCGTGTAAATATAACACTGGACACTATTTGTACACTAAAAACCACTTAATTTTTCACAAATCGATAATATTTATAAACAAAATTCACACAACGCGCCTATAAACTAATTTCATTTAAAAAAAACTCGATAGTGTCTACCTCTAGCGTCATAGATCTATAATCCACCCACCGCGAAAAGTCATTTAGCAGTCAGTCCATCAATCGAGTAACATTAAGCTAAATAAGTACTCTTTTCTGTATTACTGATTTGAGTGATAACAAGTTTACCAATCAATGAATGGAGAATTAAGCAGTGCTTAACGCTGATTGGTTATGTTTACATATTCAATATTGATAAGGTATTCTGTAAAATAAAAAGCCAAATTGAGAGATTTTGCCTCAAAATTGGGAGGATTTCGTTGTGATTATCAAAACTTGTGGAGATAAATATATTTAAATTGTATATAGTATTCTAGTAGTTACTAATAACATACTACTTACTACATTCTGGTTTCTTCAAATTTAATTTTAGGGGATTTTTGGGAAAAAGCTACACGGTCGTCTGGCAACTGTGCCTTAAATACATTTTTTGAGATCTGTGGTCACAAACGCCAACCAAAGATAAAGAAACGCCAAATAAATAAAAAAAATGTTCTTGTGTAATGGCGGATTGATTTTGGTTATTTTGTAATGTGATTTTTGTCCAAAGAATTTAGTTTGCTGATACAGTTGATATTATTAGTTAGTAAAAATATATAAACTCATAATAGTAAGTCACGTTGCTGTGTATTAATATATAGTATATCTTGTTGAGTGAATCATAAATGTGTTATACACATCCTTTTTGTTACCCACTTTCTTACGGTTTTGTTTATTGTTCCTCAGCTTTAGCCCTACTATTAGTTTCCAAAAATGTCAGATACCAGTGACTTGGATCGTCAGATAGAACAGCTGAAAAGATGCGAAATAATAATGGAAGCTGAGGTTAAGGCGCTCTGTGCCAAAGCTCGTGAGATTTTGGTTGAAGAAAGTAATGTACAACGCGTTGACTCTCCTGTTACGGTATGAACTTACGTTTTTGTATGACAAAATATGATTGTATAGTCATCCTTATTGCCTCGATTCAACGAGACTAGTAGAAAGGAAACCCAAATGGAAACAATTAAGGAATGAGTTATATATTCCTAAAAAAAGATATAGTTCTTTAAAAAAAACATATATAATAAAGGCATATTTTAAATTGTCTCTAGGTTTAGTTGGGGAAAACAAAACTATGTACTACTTATATACATGGTCAACAAATCTAACAAATTGAAAATATTTGTAGAACTGTAATGTAGGTGGTGCAGTATTGCTCTTTGTGGTTTACTACATTCTGAAACAAATTGACTATTTCATAGTCACAGAACACATGAAATGGCATGTTCAAAATTACTTGTATATTTCAGAAAAGCGCTCCTTAGTTTATGAGATTGTTTACTAAAATGCAAAAATTTGTGACCAATCTACACTCTCTCTGACTTGAGTTACAAGCAAACAAACTAAAGGAAAGAACTATTTCTTAATCAGAATATAAACATTGTTTGTTTTTTATTTATAGGTGTGTGGAGATATACATGGCCAATTCTATGATCTGAAAGAATTATTCAAAGTGGGTGGTGATGTGCCCGAGACCAACTATTTATTTATGGGCGACTTTGTAGACAGAGGATTCTATTCTGTAGAGACATTTTTATTATTATTAGCATTGAAGGTGATTATATATTTTTGTTTATAAAATAAATGGTAAAGAGATATTTTATAAACATTTGTGGAGTTACATTACATACAGTTTAATGGTGACCTGATTAAATAATCGTAGTGAAATGCACAGCACAGCACAGTACATACTTTGTTTTTCAAACTACTCTAATGCTGTAAAAGACAACTGCTGAAATTTTTTGATTCATTGATTGAAACCATTTTTAACTTGCTTTTAACCTATTGTGTTTTTTTTTAAATGACTTTAGACAAATCATCAGTTTGCTATTTTAACATCATAAAAATATCAGAATCAACTCCACTATTGACTCTTCCTTAACTACATTCAAAGCCTTCTTTGGTAAACTTAACATTACAAAGTTTATTTTTGATATGCAGAGTTACATAGTCCCTACTTTAATATATGTTAATGGTAAAAATAAAAACTGTTACATTTAGGTTCGCTACCCAGATCGGATCACATTAATACGTGGCAATCATGAGTCCCGGCAGATCACACAAGTATATGGATTCTATGATGAATGTCTCAGGAAATATGGCTCAATCACTGTTTGGAGGTATGAATTCAATTCCATTTTAAACCAGATTTATACTTGAGTTTAATCTTAATATAAATATCAATCTATCCACTTTCTGTTCTTACCTAATGGTGAACTGGTAGAGAATGCCATATGGCATTAAGCTCGCAAAATTGTACATTTTATAAGCGCAATAAAATAATAAATAAAATAAATCTAATCATGATAATGATAAAAATGTATATTCATTCTATCATTGAATAAGAAATATGGAATTAATAAATTGCTACTATACATATAATTCAAGAGTATGGAAAAGGTGCAAAATGAGTAAATGAAATGTGATTGATTTGCTAGAACTACAGTAAGGGCTTTATGAAAAAAGAATATGTATACCTATACACATTGTTAATTATCATTATGATTTGATTTAATAATGTTTCCTTCTAGAGACATTTTTTTTTATTATACTGTAATATATTAGTAACAAGAGACAATTACCACTTATCAACAGGTAGGCTGCTACCTGTTGATAAGTGGTAATTGTCTCTTATACTGATATTATGAACAGCACCATATATATCACATTGTTATTGGATGGCTTTATATGTTACTTTTGCAGAGGGCTAATATTTCACTCTTAGTCTTTTATTTATCTGTCATAGCTCACTTTTTAAACTGAAACTTGCTCACAATGCAAGTCGCTTTATAGTAGACAGTAAGTGAGCCAGAGATACCCAATATCAAGTATACCTCAGCCTCAGTACTTGTGATACAGAACCCACAGAATAAATGAATATTAAATTTCATCTCTACAGATACTGTACAGAGATATTCGACTATCTATCTCTCTCTGCAATCATTGATGGGCGGATATTCTGCGTGCATGGTGGTCTAAGTCCATCCATACAGACCCTTGATCAAATCCGCACTATCGATCGTAAGCAGGAGGTGCCTCATGATGGACCCATGTGTGATTTATTATGGAGTGACCCAGAAGGTAATTTATTTTTTTCATTAAAACAGATATAAGCTGGAAAGCTTTAAGAAGTCCACACTGAAGCAGTTGGATTTGGAGTATTTCAATACCAACATTTATTTTATTACTTCTGAATATGTCAAATAATTTCAGAATATTTCTTATATACATTAATTATGACACTGAAAAATTTGTTTATATGGTTGAATGTGCTAAACTCAGGAACTAGCAGGAAGTTGGCATTCTACCTCCCCCGTAGGTCTATTTGCAAATTTGGAGTGCCCTCTGCGCTCTGTCCCTTTTCTTGTCAAGTTATCAAAGAAAGTTATAGGCTATACAACATCAAGATGAGACCAATAGATGTTGCAAAAAGTTATCTCAATTACCCAGACAGTTAATGCGCAAATCATGTGGTAATTTACCATAAGAAAGTAAGTAGTACTTATGTTTAATGTATTTTTGGCTTTTCAGACACACAAGGTTGGGGTGTGTCTCCCCGAGGGGCTGGCTATCTTTTCGGCTCTGATGTGGTGGCGCAATTTAACGTGTCCAATGATATCGACATGATTTGTCGTGCTCACCAGCTAGTGATGGAAGGGTACAAATGGCACTTTAATGAGACCGTCCTCACTGTATGGTCTGCACCTAACTACTGTTACAGGTACATATATATTTAAAAATCTTGTATTAAATTGATTTAAATTACAAATAGAAAATGAATTATAATTTAAATAGGGATCATAGTGATTGGGGTAAATATTTTTTTAATAATAATAACACGGACATAACAACAGCACCACTCCATCTAATCACAAGCTATCAGAGATACTGTAATGGGTACTAGACAATGGATACAAATATTTAAATATTTTTTGTAATTACATATATAATATACATAGAACTGTATGTTTTCAACTACTACAAACAATCATACTTGTGCACCATGCGAGGAATAGAACCTGCAACTATTGGAAATAAAACTGCTAAATAATTATGGCTGAATAATTTAAGAATTGATTCCACAAATAAATGGCAAAACATTTATAAAATCATCTACTGTATATCTTGTTCTATGTCTATTAATGCTTATTATTGTAGAGTATTAAATTAAATACATAATTTATATAAAAATATATTAGTACATAAATGTAATGTTTATAGTTTATAAAAAAATAATTGAAAGCTATTATTATGCAATATATATTGTATTATAATAACTTTCAATTTTGTCTTCATGACTATTATCCCAGATGGAGTCGCTAAACATTCTGTTATATACGTAAATAGCACTACAGCATCACTTTATCATATGACACCTGTGATACCATTCATACGTTACCATACTGGAGGACAAAGATGTTATACCTCTTATCCTAAAATTTACAGATGCGGCAACGTAGCTGCAATATTAGAATTAAACGAAAATCTACAACGCGAGTTTACGATATTCGAAGCGGCGCCGCAGGAGTCCCGAGGTGTTCCCTCCAAGAAGCCGCAAGCTGACTACTTCTTATAATGTTCCATGATAGACTATTGAGAAATTCGACATGCATCTAGTATTACGTATTTTATTAGTAGTGACAAAACATTTCAATGTGGAAATATTTTAATGTGATTTTAAGACTGGTAATTGTAATGAATGTGTTGAAATTTGGTTTTTACAAAGAACATTTGGTGTGTGTGTTGCTTAACCGTTTCATTGTACCAATAGTGTTCAGATAAATGGGGTCTCGTGTTTATGAAGTGCAACTCTGTTTAGTATGAAAAAATGTTACGTAACTGAAATGTTTACTACCCCATAGTTCATAAAGTGTATTTATTTTAATATAGTGTAGTTCAAACAAACTGTTCATTTCATTGTGCATAGGTCTGTCGTTTACCAACATTATTGTAAGGGGATTTTCATATCTCGAGTTTATTTGATAACAGTGCTGCTCAATACTGAAATTATATTGAGATATGATGGTGATACATATATTTTGATTATTGGAATGTTTTGTCCTTTTCTTCAAAATTAAGTACCAAAACACTGTAATAGTTAAAATAGGTTTGCTTTTACAAATGAGTGACAGTATCTGTAATTTTGTTTTACAGCAGTGTCTAATTATATTGAAAGTTGAACAAAAATATCATGTAATTATGGCATACGTTAAGCTACATACCCATCAAAATGTACAATACAATGAAAATAAGAATAGGAATTAGTTGTTGCCTTATCTGTCCAAAACCCCTTAGAGTAAGCGCAATCTGTTTTCTTTGTTGTATATATGAACAATTGTTGTAACTTATAACACAAACAATTTTGAAATTACTTTGTAAATCAATATGAAAAGATCCATTCGATCGAATTTTCTGAGGATACTCTTATAATCATTAAATATACTATTCAAAAGTGCACATAATCTCGTCTATTGTAATAAAATGCACCAATATATATTTTTTCTTGCAGATAATTTTTAAGTGGCACTAGACTGATTCACTAATATTATTCCTATTCTTATCTTAATTTGATTGTAATATTATTATTTTGGAGGATGATTGAATCGTGAACCAAAGTAGGGTTTTATGCGAAAATATTGAGGTATACATTTGACAGTGAAAATTGGATTTTATGCTATAAAGTTTCTACTAGTAAAGGAAGAAATATAATGTTCATAATATCGAAAAATTGAGAGCCGATATATAGATTTAGGCTTTGCGCTTTAAGTGACAATGTGAAGAATATTTTCCAGTATGTCAGTGGTCATATTTATTCAACATAACATAAGGCATATCCACAGGGGACATAATCTAAAAAATATAAACTTAGCTTTGTTCAACTAGGGATTAAATTACGTTTAAAAAGTCCATTTATTTATCTTCTCCCAAAAATCAATAATATGTATCAGTTGTCCGACTTTTGGGCATGTAATGAAATACATCCACTGATTATTTTTGATAATATAAGTGTTTATTTATATAGTTAGATTTTATCACTTGTGAACACTGCTTTCTACTGGAAATGAACCAAATAATTAGGTTACATTAAGAAGGTGATTAGATAATAAATGTAGACAGTTGCAATGATTCCTTATGAATGAACTATAAATAGCATCGCTGTATAAGTTATCTCATCGTATATTATAAGACATAAGTTGTTAAATCAGTATCACAATCTAAAATATAAATGAACATGTGATGAACAATGAATAGTGTAGGAATTTCATTAGTTAGTATTATGTAATGTCGGTATCAGATCTTAAATAACATAATGTAATGTGTTTAACAAACGCCAGACGATTTAGAGTGCTCACAGCCTTTCCATTTTTTGAGCAGATTTCAAACCGGTATAGTTGGAATGTCATACCATATGTGTATCACATAGTTTCGGTTCCAAACGGCCAGTACGTATATTTGTGTTCTAAAAAACTGATATTAAGCTGTTCTGTTAATTATTGTTTCTTTCTTAAATAATAAGAGTTCGTAGGTACATAATAATTAATGCTATTAATCTACAGGTGTTTAACAACTTTGTACAATATAATAAGATTGTAACACTGCCGTTAATGTAATGTACTTTTAAAATATACATCGTTTTATCACTATAGTCAAATTACGTCGTTATGGTAGTACTGCATTGCGTGACGCACTAGAAATTTATAATACACTAAGAAAATACCGCGCTATTAAGGGCTTCATATGTGTCTTAAATAGTAATACATGTTGTATAGGTAAGCCTAATTATTTTAGCCAAAGTAGAAAACATACTAAAGCGATATCTGGACTCCTCAATTAGTACATAATTTAATATAATTATCTTCATTTAAAATTGGTTAAACAGTTTGCAATCCATTTCATAGTTGCTTGTATTAATGACTGTATTGCGTTATCTCAAATTTTTAATTGTATTAAATTTTTAATCGAGAATTCCCGACCAAAGGTAATTCTCGAGCATTGGAAAAAAAAGATATCGATAGAAACCCAGCAGGTCTACTCTGAAGTCTAATTTCAATCCAATCAAATTTTATAATGTTCTTTAAAGAAAACTAAACCGAATAAATGTATAGTAATGTCAGTTTAGTTCTTTATATGTAATTCATATGTTCTAAGTGTATAATTCAAGAGTGTAATACAGTGCCAATCAATGTCATTTCGGTCGTAGATCGGAAGTAGATTCAAAAGTCTACCGATTGATTACAATTCAAGAGTGCAGTGTGGACAATGTTCATAGTTTACTAGCAGAAGTGATATGTCTGATATGAGTGATGAAGAAATAATTGTTTAAAATTATATGTAAAATAGAGAGTGTAACTACTGTTATTATTTGTAATAATAGATACAGTCAAAATCAGATATTAGACGCAAATCGTTTTACAACCTTGTACTTGTATAATATACCACATATAGAATGTACCACATGTAAGAAACAGACAGACACTCTTTTACATTTATATTTAGTATAGACAAATAAGAATATAAATGATTTAATTTGTTAAAATCTATAAATAAATTAAATACTCACATACTACTGAAAGTTGTATAGAAGTATTTAAAAAAATTACATAGTATAAACAAAGATGCCGCCTCTGTCTGTTCCTTTCCTTTATATCTCTTAAATTACGCAACGGATTTTAATGCAGTTTTCAGCAAAAGATAGAGTGATTCTAAAGGAACCTTCCTTTAGAATCACTATCTATTGCTATCTATAATACATGGGTATTATAGTATATATGCATCCTGTATAAAACCGAAACGTGTCGCTAGTAACGTATATTTAAGTACCTATACACGGTTATTATGCCTAAAGCTGGTCTTGATTGTATTATTATTTCTAAATCAATCAACCATATTATCCATAGTTATATTCATTATTGTTGACAATTTCAATTCCTATTTTTAATCTTATTCAAATACCTATATGTAATTGCAAATGAAAGTACTACTTATTAGCAAAATGACTGTTAAAATACCCACTTCTTTTTTATAAAATTAAAATGAATACCCATTGTCAAATTGTATTATTTATTTACATCTAAGTAAACCATAAAATTATTAACATATTAACAAATTATTAGAAAAATATACAACATCTATTTATAATTGCGTCAAGTGTTTTATGCTTGGGGCGTTCATTAATTCCAAAGTACAAAGGTAGGAAGATCTGGAAAACTTAAGAGAGAGGGACAAATTCAATATTGATTTATAATATATACATATATAACATATATCTATATATGTGAAATAGTTTTTAAAAACAAGCGGCTAGGCTGCTGGAATAGGTTAGATTGAGATGGTCTGCCAGACGAAATTACCTTGTCAATACAACACATTAATTTAACTACCCACAATATTATGAAATTATATTACACATTTCTGGCAATATATCTCCACATTTTGTTGCTATTTTAATGTCAGCAATGTTATCAGCTCTAGTAGGGCCTATATTTAAAATGGCAACACACTTATTTTCCTCTTTTGCTTGCAAAATTATTCTATAACTTGAATACACCGTTAGACTTGATCCGAGAACAAATATAGCATCACTGGATGATACTTTGTTCTTTACAGCCTCCACTCTAAGTTTAGGAACATTGTCACCGAAAAACACTATATCTGGCTTCAATGGGCCTTCACATTTGGGGCAAAGTGGTGATCTAAACCTACTTTCTTGTTCCTGTAAAAATCCGAAAAATATTTTTTTCTTATTTAAATTGTTAAAATTTTCGTCTTGGTATTTAGATGTGCTAATCTCAGCAGCTTAACTAATAATTTGTGCTTGAATTTTACTAATGTATTGTGCAGAGCTTCAGGTAAAATTAAGTGTTTATACTCAATCAGTTTAAAACAAAAAACCATAATATGATGCAAGATTTACTCTTCACAATTAAATGAAGTTCCAGCTGCAGTCTATATCCTTATCTCTTAAATAATGCAACGGATTTTAATGTAGTTTCCAGCAATATATAAAGTGATTCAAAAGAATGGTATATATGCATGTATATAGAAGAAGTCTGGTATATCTAAGATTAATAATGCATCTGTGTAACGCCGGTCTACTACTTTTAGTAAAATAATAAGAAGTAATCACCTTAGTTAGATCAACATCTCCATCAGGCCGGATCATACCAAAATTACTTTCCATATCTGGATTGCTTTTTGCCAACTGTTCTTGAAGCTCATTCCTATCAATCTCATATGGGCAGTGTAAACACTTCACAATGTAGCCAGTTCCATGCAGTTCAATGACATTTCTTGAACCAGCTTTGTGATGTAGTCTGTCAACATTCTGGGTTACTATTGATGTCACCTTTCCTGTCTAAAAATAAGAAATAAAAGCATATTTTTAATATACAAAACTAGATGTGCGACTAGCACATAAATTAGTTTTAGCAGATACTAAATTAAGAAAATTAGTAATTTATGTATTACAGCGGAATGTATGCTATACATTTCAATATTATATTTTAATCTATGTTTCTATAGCAATAGATGTGACCCATGTGAAACAGAGGCAGGAAGCTAATTATACATTTTTTTTCTGTGCCTATCCTGCAATCAGGAGACTATGAACAGAAGTGGTGTAGGTGCTATATCGTGGGTAGAGAGTGATTCCCAGCAGAATCATCATCTCTTTTGGTGGTCCTGGTTAATCATTGGGTTCCAGTAGCTTACGCCTTTTAAGTCGATGTATGTTGTCAGGGACTATTAGTTGGTTGGCCAGCTAATTATACATAAATTACTTATTTTTATCTTTCATGCACAAATGAATTATGTTATTTTATGGATCATTTTGAAATAGTACTGAAGCCTGTGCTACCAGCGTCTGCATATAGAGTTCCAGTGAATAATAAAATGATAAAGTGAGTTAGGTAAGTTAGCCCATTAAATCAAAGGATCACTTTTCAGTTGATCTGACACAGTAGTAACAGACAGTTACTAGCAGCAGGACTACAAGTCCCATTACTAATGATTACTAATGAACTCTAGATGTTACATGATGCTAAAAGAACTAGTTGTAAGAATGTGAATGTTGTTGTGAAAATGACAAGTAGCCATTCATTATTTTATATCAACTACAGATGAAAAATGAATAACAAATATCACCATACTTAATACTATAATGCATTAACTCCAAATTTTCAAATAGTGAAAAATAGCTTTTATGATTCATCTGTTAAAGTTATTTTCCAAATTATCGATTTTAGAGTTCATACCATATAGTATTATGCATGAAATAAAGTATTTTTATGATTGAAAAAATCAAAATGTCTTCAAACTTTTGATAGCAATGCTGTGAGAAATCCGACTGACAAATCTGGCTACATGCCTTTTCTAGTTCATTTATAGAGTAATGTACAGCATTAGGTTGTATATTGCAGAACCTTGGCCATCCAATGAAGTTTCTTGCCCAATACCTCTGTCGAACTTTAGGGTACTTGACAAATTCCTGATACTGAATAGGCTTATGGTTGCTGCGGGCATATAGACCTACTTCTTCTGATCTGTAGTCAGGTATGCCTGCATTGAAGATGACAAGATCATTGGAGTCTTATTTATGAAAGATAATAGTAGGAATATTAAGTCTGATCACACAATTGATTGTTAAGTTTTGCATATTTTATGCATTAAACAAATGACATCTTTAAATAGCTCTATAGCTATTTTTATAACTGTCCTACTGATGTAAGTTATAAATAAAATAATATAAACTGCGTTATTGTAAGTAGAAACGAAAATAATTGTATCGAATTTTACCTGACTCTGTCGATATTCCAGCTCCAGTTAATATGAGTATTTTATGATATTTTGTAAGAAAATCTGTGAGTATCTCAAAATCCTTGGGGTCAGGTGGCCTGTGTTTAGGAACGTATACAATGGGTCTAGCTATAGCTAGTGTTCTAAGATTTACAGCCTTACATACACCACTTTGTAACATTTTAATTCTTATTATAAACATAACACATACCCACACAAAAAAGTTATTTTACTTGAAACTAATTTTAAATCACTCACGTCACTGTTACATAGATTTTTTTAATAATTTGCAAATATTTTATTCTAATTTGTCGAAATCGTGGTGTGGTATGTCCACACCATGTACTTATTCAGTATTGAAATTTTCTTAATTTATTTTCATTTAGGTTTGCTTATACAGAACTAATGTTAATTTAAAAAATTTTTTTTACCAATAACATTTCGAGTAAAGTAATTTTATTTAAATAGTGACTGTCAATCAGTCAGTGAATACATAATTGACCTCTAGTCTGACAGCTGACTGATGACCACTGATGACTGAACTATAGTGACTAGCTAGAGTGTGACGTGATATTAAATAATATTATGCTACATTGAAATCTTATCGATATTATGTTTAATTGGAGATTGAAACATTTTCGTTCATATATTTGCTGATCATTAATCTGATTTTCTGTTCATTACATGAGTAAAATAAGGAAAAAAATAATGATTTTCCTATTTCTCATTTTGTGAGTATATAAGCAAATTTTGTCCACATTGAACAAGTGTGTACTCGATTCTTATTATCGATTAATTAATTAATCAATCGCTCACATAGTTTTGAATCGAATTTATAGAACTTTCAGGAAAATTCTTTAGTTTACAATAACACATTAAAAAAATAGTCTGTCAAGTAATGTTTGCAAGTATGTTTTGTGCGCGATCGAAATTTAATGTTTGATTTGACATTAATTTTTATTCTTAAATTTTGCCATTTATTCACATTTCCTGTCTGAATAATTTTGTTAGTGCATTTTCAAGAAAATTTTGTTTTGGAGTGACATTAAAATGGATGTTTACGGGTACCCTCCGTACCAATATTCACAATCGGACGATCTTAATAGACAAATGTTTGCTGAACAATCAATGGTTTCAAACTCAATGCCCTACAACCGTGATATATCAAGCCCCCATGTAATGCCGGTACCATCTGGAATTCCATGGAACGTTCAGGGTTTACCATGGGGTATGCAATCTCCTCCTCACCTAATGCAGTTCACAGCACAAACTCCGCCTCCGGGCGCTGAAGTGACACCAGTGATTCATTGTAAACGGAAGAGCTTGGATGTAGAACCGACAGTGTAAGTATTTAATAATTGTTTTATAACTTTAATGATGATTTTTATAAACCCTTCTCATCTTATAGTGAACTTATGTAGGCTTTGTTATTGTCTATTAGTAAGACTACAATTGTTTAGAAATAGAAATAGAAATAATCTTTATTAAAATGAACTTAATATAAGCATTTTTGAATAGTATTATTTTTCTACCACTCATTCGGAATGCAAGAAGAATGATTTGTTCCTTACAAGATGAAAATGTTTGTATTGTTTTGTTGCTATGAGTGTTAGTATAGGCTTGGTGTTTTCTGTCTATATTATGTGTATATTCACAAAAACATATGTTTAAGTATTTATATCTTAGTGTTTATTACTTGGAATACAAGCTTTGCTTAACTTAAGAAAAAAAGAATCAAACAAACAGCCATCAGAAGTATCAGTCAGACATTTTTTTTTTCGGATTACTATAATGCTGTTGGCCGCAGCTGGCCTTTACAGCTTCACCGGACGTCAGGGGGCTGGTGCAGATGGCACTCCAAACCTGCGGGAGGACTTATAGAGGGGCTGAAGGCCACCTCCTGCCTGACAGATACGACTTTAGTCTGAGGGCACCAAAAGGGTTCGAACCTCGGCTCAGGCCGTCGAAATATCGATCCCCCTTTGAATTGGACGGGGGACCAATCGGAGGGTAGTCAGACAATATACTATATTGTTAGACTACAGTTACAGTTTAGTACTGATACTGTAATTTTAGTAATTATCTATATTTTATTAAAACAAACTATTACAGACCAGCTAAACAATTAATAACAGAAGAAAAAATGGCAGCCCATCTCAACAGTCTACACATATCATCAGACTACACCCCCCACCAGCTTGCAACTGAGGAATGTATGGATGTCAATATGGAGATGCCATCTACATCTGGCTCCACATTAGTGTCAGAAAAATTTAAAGACAAATTCACTGTAGTCTTGTCAGATGAAGTAAAGAAAATTAGAGATCAGCCATTGCTGCCACCAGCCCTTATGGAGAGGTAAGTGTAATCCCACTAATATTATAATTGCCAAAATTTGTATGGATGTTTGTTAGTTTGTCACACATAAATGTCTTCATTGAAACTAAAATATCCTTCATACATCAAAGTAACATTTAGGGTATAATTATTAAAGCTATTTATTTATTAGCATACAAAACAGATTACAATCAATATAATAATACAATTAGGAGTGTGTAGTTCGGTACAAAACTGGATTGTAATCCAACACTATGTATGCCTAAAAGCTAAATTATATAGATGCATTCAATATATGCTAGATAGCTAGATAAGGATATTTAATGAAAAGTAAACTAAACGGAAAATAATATATAACTATGTAATGAGATGAATTATCATGTTAACAGAATTTTATTTATATTAAAAAAAAAAAATGGTTCTATATTAAATATAATTTGTCTCTTTACGGTGGAAATTTAATTGTCTCCGGAACTAGACCAGTTTTGAATGAAAAATCTATATTTCTATTCGAGACAAGAATTTCATTGTATTGGCAACATATTCGAACTATTGGGTTATAACATGAAGTATTATTTGAGTAAACCTGAAGATAGAAGGTGTTATAATTACGGTTACGTGATCTAAATGAATCTAAATGCTATTGAATAGTACACTACAATAAGTGACACATAAGTAAAAAAAATCCTATCTGCAAGCAATTCTTGCATGCACTGTAAAAAGTATAAGTTACACGTGTCTAATGTATGGTAATGTATTTATCTTTGAAATAGATTTAGAATATATTTTTAATTTAGAATAGATTTTAATTTGAATACTGTAATAACCACATAACACGAAAGTTCTTTGGTCTGTAGTAATTACTATGTATAAATTATATTATTAAGTTAGTTTGTACTAAAATAAAAATATTTTTTGTCTGCAATATTATTTCAATCTAATAAACAAAGTAACACAGTGTTATTAATGGGAAATATTTATTTTACAGATTAGAAAAACCACAGATGTCCCTTGTAGTGTGGAAACCTCGTGAGAATATGTTGGAAAAGTTAAAGGATGCTAAGGAACAGAAGAATGAATCTGAGGAAGATGTACCTAAAAGAAGGAATGGCATATTAGTAATGGTACACAATAGTATAGATATGGAGATGTGATATTGTCTTTATGAATTCTCAAGTGAGTCTGATTCAGAATGAACATTAAGTAATTTATATTGAAAAACTTTAAGTGTGAAACAAGTTAAATCTGTCAAGCATGTCGTGGAATCGTCGTCGTATACTTAAGAAGTAATACAATAGTGATTTCTAGCTGTTGTTAAGTAATATGTTCTATTTACCCCAGGACACATCGTATAGGTATCAACAATGCACTTACGTTACGTTTCGACAACGCACTTCGCCTCGCGGGCGCGTTTTATTCTACAGTATATAATATTCTGGTATTCTATATCATATTCACGGTACTCTGTATTAATAATTAGATTAGCTAAGCTTAATAATTAGTAGGTCTTAAATTTTGAGTATTAATGAAAAAAAAAACAAAAAATATAATAGTAATCTATCAGAAATCACGATTTAAAGTGAAATTAGCACAACGAAATACACACGTGTACAAACATAATAAACATATGTTCACGATCGTGGTATCTGTTTGGGGTATAGTTAACAGTCGATGTTGTAGTGAAGACAGTTCTTAACACGTCCACATTTGGCTCAGTACAATTTGAATCCTACATGAGAGGAAGCGAGCCTACCTCCCCCTCTGAGGTTAATTTTTGGTTGATATCAATGTTGTCCTTCATCCAAGAGACACTCAGAAATATAAATTGACACACAATTTCTCTTGGACGTAATTTAAATCACTACGACTACGACACTCTTCACATCCACATTTATACATATATCGAAAATTATGAAAATACAAATAAAAGTGTGAGAAAAACCTTTGGTATTATTTGATATAAATCAAGTAATGTTTTGTAGTAATGTAAGGTATGTAGTTAATAAGTATTGTAAAAAACATTAATTAAATCTTAATTATTGTCAAAAACGGCAGTTCTACGAATTTCGAAATAAGATACAGGACCCACTGTAGCGGAGTTCTTTTTATTATCTAGTCCTGTGGTTGTTTTAGGTATCGGCGTCATCAATTGTGAAGGCTGATTTAGAGCTCTCACACATTATTAGATCCTGTTAGATGATTGTCCTTTTTAGGGCTTTTTTGAGGGCTTATCAACTAATGCCAATCGAAACCAGGACAATTGTTCTACTGAACCTAATAATTTGGGAGCGCACTTAGGCCTTTGTGACCGTGTCGTTGCGTTTTCATTTATTTCTGTATAATGACGTATGTATGCGTTTGTTAAAGAAATCTATACCGAAGCGCACCAGTCAGAAAGCTCTCATTTAATTTCACTCACTCGGTAAATATTCTGTACAGAAATTAACAAAATAAACACACCTCGACACGGTTAAACGTGCGCAGTACTTTTAAGTGTTTTTATATTGTGCTCTTATTTGTAGTAATTAATATAGTGTATCGGCCCATAACGTTTATTGCAACATAATAATATTAGTTGAGATTATATAAACTCAAAAATATGTTTATTCATGTAGGTCTATGATAAATCAAAATCAGCTGTTCGGAATATATTATAGTATGAGCCGAGAACTCATAGGAAACTATGCTCTCATTATTATCAAAATATGCATAATACATATTTATTTATTATAATTACATATTAAAACTTGAGTGTTCTACTGAACATAAGCGTATACCGAATTAATGTTAGTCGGAAAAATAATTAGATATGTTATATTGATAACTTTAGCAACCAGTCCCGACAAGCTTTGGTTACGCTTTCACGCTTAAAGCAATCATTACAAAATGTATCGTTATTTATTAGGAAGTCACGGTCAGTAAACAATAAATGAATGGTGATGAATAAAAAATACTCCGAACACAATCTACAAGTTACAGCAGTCTCAGTATCAACTCATTTTGCATGGAAAGAGAGGAATCCGGATGCCCTTCTTCTCATTTTCTGTCCCCTAATCGGCGGTAATAAATTGCCATTGTGTAAGCCTCGTTGCTAAAAAAACGCAAATATCCCAGCTCATATTCTCCAATTACTGTTCTCCATTTAGAGGTGGAGGGGAAGGGGGTTCTGGCAATCGTCGCACTAATTACTCAATTGCTGACCATATTCCTTATCAGGTCTTCCTCATGCGTTTTACCCAGAAAATAGTCGCGGTTAATTTGTCACAATGTACTATGAACTTAGAAAAATTCAATGTTTCAACTCTATTTTTTTACAAAAGGTGTTTCATAATATGACCGGACTTCATGGTTATCTATCGAACTATCATTGTACAATGGTAGGTCCCCAATTTATAAAAAAAAATACTTTCAATGATTTCAATTAATATGCGATTTTTATGAATAAGTGTTCTTGTATGTCTAATTCTGTAAAGTGCAATGCACAAATAGGTACTATTAAGCCTCTAAACATACGTTTTAATCGTAATATTGTGTCTCGATTGATATTGTGTAAAACTATGATGTTTCAAGATTGTTAATGTTTTAAATTAGAAATAAAGTCTTATTATAAAAGCCTACAGGATTTTAAATCTTAGTATTTGCTTTTATTTCCTCTTACGTATCTTTGTTGTATGTCAATGTCATCGATGGTCCGATGGTATAGCGATGGTCTCAAGTTCGATTTCTGTATAATAAACTTTACAACGGACATATCAAAAAGACAATTTTTAGTAATTTTTTTTAAAAGTTGTTCCTGTAAATATTTATATCAGTAGTCAAGCAAGTCAAGTACAAGCTTTGCTTGATTTGGGAGTAGATAACGAGTGATATATTCAGTGTTCTATGTATGGGAATTACATGTTGTAGGTAATTGAAAAAAAATATATTAAAAAAGTTTTATTTCTAGATCACAATATCAAAGGCTTTTTGAGTGAGTTGACTTATACATAAATACTTATTTAATCTGAGCCTAAAATACTGATTAGGTATACAATCCATTTATGAAATTGATCCTAAATCTTCTGAAACAATTGAATATTATATCATTACAGCACAGGGCACAGTGGCACAAGTTTATACGCCACGGTGCAAACTTAGGTTCCAAAACCATATGACTGACATTATACAAATACAAAAAAAATATTTTGTTAATATGCGTGTAAAGTTACACATATTAACAAAATATTTTATGTTCACAATCCAAAATAGAATCGTTTTCTTCATCACGAGAGAATCTTACAAAGGAAATCAGTTATAACATCGATTATATCTTTATATTCATTGTACCTATTGTAAGACCTACACTTGGGAATCATATAGTTCAAAAATTTCAATAATATAGAGTCTAAAACATTTTTTTCAAACATTCCTATACCTATATATATATATAAAACAAAGAAATGAAAATAGCAAATAGTACAGACAGACATGATATTATCTACCTAGTTATTATGTGAAATTACTTTTGATGGCTAGACTTATTACCTAGTTCTCAGGTGGAGTAATCGGTCAAATCCAACAGAAAACTTCGCGCTTAAACGCTTAATACAACGGGGTCCAAAACTTTGAACATAAGTATCGTCCAAAACCTATATTCCTTTATTAATTTAGCTCTGGTTTAGAGATCCTAAGTTCAAAATTTTGGATCCTACTCCATTATTTTGACAGTCTTAATATGAACTACGATTAGGGAATAATGTTTTAACACTATATTTTATAATTTCTATATTTTTGTTGATTATTCAGTCCTGCTGATTAACAAACATCATTATATACAAAATTTCATCATATTCTATCACTATTTAATTATTGACAAATAGGAGAAATAAATGACAGTTTGTGTTATATTATCAATGCAAATAAGTATTGGATGTATATTTACTATTAAGAGTGTTAAAATAGCTAAAGTCAGCTAAGGCTACATATATACAGACGGTTTTCTCCGTAGAGGGCAGGTAACCAAATGCGCTAATCGTCATCGGAACGTAATCGCATTCGGGTAACCTGACAACTTGCCAAGTATATACGAGTATATTGGCGGCCTAACTAGATATACACTTACGCCGTTAATTATGAATGGCGGAAATTAGGTATTTTAACCCCAAGGTTCTACTATATACAGTCTTTTATTGGTTATATAATTGACATTATTATTATCATCATTTTAGGTACCTACTTATTAAAGGATGAATCTTGTGAAATAGTTTATTATAAAATAAATAAATGAGTTATAATTCCAAATTATGAATTTTGAATCTACATAAATAATTCATATATTATGTTGTTACTTATTATTATATTAATTGCACCTATAATATTAATTATATTTTTTATTGGCAAAATATTAATTAACTTAGGTATATACAAAATATACAGCACCATATTATACATTAATAAAAATTTCTGAACAGTACAAATTCTGTTCACTTTTGACGGTTCTTTATAAATTGTACACATACAAATGGAAAAATCTTAATAACTTAATCGGAATGCCTTAGGCGTATTTATTTTAACCTTTATTTTTTTTTATCACTAATGTTGTCCAATTATTTACTTTTTACAACGTTAGATAGATATAGAAATACAAAACTATTAAATAGTAGATACCTAATAATTGATATACATATTTATTTTGAAAATCAATTAATTGAGCATAGGCACTAAAAATTTAGCTTAAAACAAAGATATTTTAAAATCATCTTCTATGAGAGAATGAAAATCTAACAAATTCTTGAAATTAGAACAAATTCGAACTTCGTTTTTATGGAGACAAAATTCATGTCAACCATATCGCCCACTTTAATAATAAACTGCATTACTACAAATTATTTTATGAAATGTACTGTATATATTTGAAATTGTTTTTTTGATTTACCATTTCCATATATTATTAAGCCTGCAATCTTTAGAGATTGTAGAGTTTGCAAGGAGAAAAATAACAGTGTTTTTAGTTCTCAAAATAAGTTGACCTTAACTGTAGCCGTATCCAAGTCTCTCTTCATATTCTCCAGCTGCTCGATGTCTTGTACAGAGGTTTCACATTTCTGTACCACTAGTGAGTGGTAGAAGTGAATCGCAAATGCCACAAACACTATTAGCACTGAAAAAGAAATTAAGATATGAGGATTGACGTATTTCAAAGTTAGAACAATTTTTTTTTAAATAAAACAATCTATGTGGCATGAACTTCTTGCCGAGGTTTTCTCATGAGACTACAGCATGGGATTTTTCGAGAAGGGTATATTAAGGTTTACCATAGGCTACGGTAACCATTTATCATTAGATGGGCCGTATGATTGTTTGTCACCGTCGTAGTACAAAAAAAAGAGTTGGTTGTGCACCTGATGAAAAGTGGTAACCTTCGCTTACACAGACTGAGGTGAAAGTTATTCGGTCATTCATATTTGACTTGCCTCTTGACTTGGGATCCTTTACCCTTTAACAACCTCGGTCGTCTAGCACTCACTCTGGTTTAACACTCTGTTTTACAATCGACGGTCGCGATTGTAGAGGAAAGTGACCAAAAATGAGATAGTATCCATAATATGGAATACATTCATTTCTCTCAACTGCGAATTCAAACATTTAAATAAACACTGATTTTCTGCCTCTTTGTACTCCCATTTACGCATGCAAATTGTGGCATGTCAATCGAGGAAGTATGTGTATGTGTATTTTTTATCGCTACCATATAATAATCTATTATTCTGGCCTTTTTCTATATATATGTATTTATAAAAATCAATATATAATTATTAGTGTCTTGCTAAGTTTGGGTCTATGGTTTAATTTCTGTCTAAATTGTTTAGATATCTTTTTCTAATTCTGTATAAATGAGCAGTACCACAAGTATTACAGATTATTTACACATAAAAAACGTAAATAAATATTTATTTAATTTATAATTTACCTGGTATGACAATGACGGTAGCAGCGGTGGCGGCTGCGAATGAATAGTCCCAAAATTTCACCCAGCAAAGTATGGCTATCTCTACTAAAAACAGGAAGAGACCTGAAATAGAACAACAATCCTATTAATATTATAAACGTGATAAATTAATGTTAATAAGTGGATGACTTAATAAAAGATTTGAAATATAAATGAATCATAGGAACATTTCTGTAATACATGTTGGCAGTGTCACGGGACATAACTAGTAAAAGTAAAAAAAAGAAAATGTCTAGTCATATGTCCACATCATATTTTCATTAAATAAAAATAACTGCTGTTCAAACACACTTAACAAAAGCACTTTTGTATAGTCATTTATTTATGATCCTACCACCACATTGTTACTATGCATTCACTCAAGAATGTACAAGAAATTCTTCTGTGTATCAATGACTAACCTGACTGAGTTCATTCTCATACTCGTCTGTGCTATTGTTTTCTAAGTAATCAAACACAAACATTATCTTTCTTGGTTAATTTATCGAGGATCAATTATGAACATTTTTAAAACAGATTCTTTTGATGACTAAGCTCTTCAAAAAGAAAGATTTTCCAATACAATAAAGAAGAAATTTTATTACCCTTTACATCCAAGTGGCTCGGACAGTGCGGTTTCAGAGGAGCTTGCTTTTTGATTGTGGAATGAACTGCCTGCCTTTTCCCACGAGACAGCACAGGGTTTTTCAAGAACGGTATATTAAGGTTTCTTGAGGGTTGGCAACGCGCACGTAACACCCCTGGTCTACGGTAACCATTTACTATCAGATGGACTGTATGCTTGTTTGCCACCATATAGTAGTATAAAAAAAAATTGGTTTGATTCTCGCACGATACATTAATTTGTATTCATAAGTATGATTGTTAGGTCTGGGTAGTTTCCACAAATGTTTACTGATCAGTTTTTTAATTCTCATATTACAAGATCTGCTCATTTTGGGACTCAATGGTGCTGTGTGAATTGTCCTATTGTTTTCCAAAATTACTCCAGAAATATGAGAGTCCCACACGGACAAACCCGCAATAAATAATGAATATGACATATTGCATCATAGACTAACAAAATTTAGAAAGAAACATACCTAAAACTGTACTAAACGCCCACGCCAGTTCTATGAAACCCCTCATTCTCTCATGAGGTGAATCTCTGAGGGCCACTCCTGGTCCACCCGGTGATTCCATTTTGCTTACAGCATCTATATTAGGCAGGAGGTACGTGGAGATCATAAGAGCGAAAATGTGGACCGCCACTAGAACGGTGGTACAGACCGCGAACATCACGAACAACCACTCAGGAACGTTTGTAGGCTCGTTGATTTGCAATTCTACCATTGCCACCATAGCGAAACCTGGAAGTATATTCATGTTCAAGTATATAGATGGGATTTCATATTATATAACCATAGACTTAGATTACAAATTCGTATGCGTGAATACTGCCTCGTATATTTAAGCCATTTTACTCAATACACCAGAAGTAGACTTAGAATATAAATTCGTCTGTTTAGGTTGCAAGCCACTAGATTTGAGAACTGTGTTTTAGTTAGAACGGTAAGAGTTATTGAGTTGCGTTTCTTGCCAGTCCTTATCAATTAAAGTAGCTAGCAGGTCTGGACGATAGAGACAAAATTTCGAATCGGATAAGCGTCAAAAAAGTTAAAAAAATGACATTTTGAAATTATAGGATACAAACTGATCAGCTGTTACATAACGAAATTCTATCCGTGGAATTCACGAATATAGCCTATATTCGTGAATTCCACTTATTATTAATAAAAAGCAACGCAGCTAACCACTTGTTTTTTACGGCCAAAGATAAAATACCTGATAATAGTTCTGAGGTGGTTGCAGTCGCTTTGAGTTTGGCCCGGGACATGTGCAGTCGCCTCCACGACAAGCCATCAGAGAGGCCGGTGCCAGTAACCGGCGCCTCCTCGTTCCATCCTGGCGACGTGGGCATCGTCAGCGCCAACTCACTCACGCTCTGTAATTGAATGTTTTATAGATTTTTATGTGCATATCATAAAGGAATGTACCCGCCTGTGCTAACGGTTTACGGATGGCGGGGCACCATTGGAGGATAATAAAATGAACATAAGGTGAGGTCAGTTAGCCCATTGTGTGGCAAATTCACCAGGAATTTATCACAATTGTTTCCAGACACTGTACATTGCTAGCAGTAAGGTTGTGAGACCACATTATTAACAATTGTCTTCCCCCGTCAAACGATAGATTCGCGACTACCGTACATAAACAAACATCTATACATTCTGTCATTTTCACAAACTTTCGTGGTTATGATATTAATACAATTGTACCATGTTCGTGACTTTCTCTACATAAAAAACTAATAATTTCAAATGTCTTTTTTGATATTACACAGGCCAAACTAACTATTAATTTAGTCTTTGTAATATTCTGTGTATATTATTTATGTATTTACAGAAAAAAATAACCTGTCCCATGTCTAGTACCGGATATATGACATAGTAACTAGATGGTGCTGTGTGAATCGTCCAGGATTATTTAATTAATTAATTAATTTAAATGTCATAGAAACAATATAACTTTATTTTATATACTACCTAACTGGAATAACAAACAAGCTGATGCCCCATCAAGCATAATGGCAAGCGGTATCCCTCGCCTATATACATGAACAGATCTATGGGCATCACGTTATCATGTACCTAATACGCGAGATATGACTCATGCCTTGCCATTTGAGAAGTCTAAGATATCATGCCTCTTGATAAATCTCTCCAGCCTTATTTCAGCCCTCAACCGAAACACATCTTACAAAACAAACTACTTGGCGGCCGAATAGGTGAGACAGAGGTACCCTCGCAAAGTGTACCTTATTTTGGGACTAGAATAAATCATCAACCATCTGAATCATTCAGGGTTATTTATTTACATATGACGGTAACAATACTTACTTTCATTGACTGGTTACATTGACAAGGGTTGAGGTATCCAGGGCTTAACAATACAGTGGTAGACGGTCTGGTGGACACCATTCCGTTTGGCGTTGCACCGCCGTTTGGACTTCCTCCGTTCTTGGGGACGTAGTCCAAACTGTGAGTCGGCGTTATCGAAATTGTAGGACTGTCTGTTGCACTCACTTTAAATCTGAGGACAAAGAAAACATTATTACCCTCTGTTATGTACTTACATGTAAATCCATATTCTTAAATAATATACTTGTACCTATTAATTAGGAAAGTGTTTTTGTTTGTGTCTGTTTCTTATCTTTTTCAGTTCATGTGCTGAAGAAGGCTGAGCTGAGGATTTTAACATTTAACGAGAGGCAAAATATTTTGTCTCAAAAACCCGCCGGAACCACGGGTAAGCTATAGTATTTTATATTTGTGTTATAATGTAATTAACAAAACTGTCTTTTACAATTACGTTGTTTAATGTTAATTAAGTTGTTTTTTACAATTACTTAATTATTTTCAAAAACCTATTCCCAGTCATACACACATCATTGATTTATTCAATAATAATGATAATTATAATTAGGAAATACACTTCTATAATTATTTAAACTATAAAAACAATTATTATCATAAACTATTTTTTAATTAGCGATAAATAATGATGGCACCTCTGTTCACTAAAATACGAGTAACAGACGCAATCACATTTCTATATTGAAGGTAGTTAAATAATAATTACCATATATCAGATAATTGTACCACAGAGTATTTATTGTATAATAATATAGAAGTAGAAATATTATGTTGAAATTAATAATTAATTAATTTAAAATTTATTTATAGTACGATTAAGTATGACATATACAGTGTCTTTTTTACATTTTCTTTAAGTCAAAAACAATACGGGCTATTGTGGTATAAAAAAGTGTATTGGGAATGTTAAAATGAATCTTTCTAGATCCACATATCTTAAGCATGTAGGGGTTGGTTTTTTTAATAAAATGTATACAACAAAAATTCGTAACGCGTAGTAATTCCTATAACATTTTAAGTGTAATAAGCAATACGAGATATATTTGATCACTAAATGATGTGACCATAATAATAATGAGTACAATTAAGTACTCCTTACACTTACTATCTGTATTAGGGCTTATCGACATTAGAAATTATCGATGTCGCCATCGACTATGTATCAGGAAATACATGTTCTTGTATTTTGTATTAAGCCGCTAATACTTTTTCTTGTTTTTTGAATCGTAAAGGTCTTATATATGAAACGTTCCGTTTTTGCAGCTATTTTGTTTTTTTAAGCTGTTGTCATCGATGTTTTTGAAAACTGCTTCTCAAAATATCGATATTTTCTCACTACACATCGATGTTTATACAATATCGATCATTCCTAATTTATATCGGTAGTACGTAGTAGTAGCTACGTAGACACTAAGTTTTACAACCTACGCAATATGAGTCATAAGAATACAAAAGGTAAGTATCTAAAATCATTACGGTAGGTATTACTCATAAAATAGATGTTATTATTAGGCACAAAATTATTAACTTGAAAATTACGTGTTGTACGGAAACGTTGCAAGCAGTTTAACACCTTGGTACAACATAATGTCCGCTTTGTATGTTTTTTTTACGACTTGTAGATATGTAATACGTTAATATAGTAAACATTAATGTTAGGTACTTTTTCATAATACTTATCCCTTATTGATAGAATGCGGACCTTCTTATTCTAAAATATACCTGGAGTTTCAGAACATAAGTAATAATTATGGTATTAAATAAAAGTGTAGTAAAAGAATGCCTCTCAACATGCATCGATTAGGGAATAACACTTCCCTAATCAACTTGTCTTAAGCTACAAGCAATGCTCACAATTTAGGAAGCTGCACTCGGTGGTATTATTAAATTAAAAGAAAACTAAGAAAGATTTTTTAAACTGGCTCAAGATATTTATGAGTTTATTTATTGCAAATAATCAAATTTCAATAAATGTACTCTTAAATCTACTCTCATCATTCATGATGATAATGATTAATAAAAGACAACCATTATCATCATGTGACATAGTGCTATTCTGAAGGACTAAGACATCTTGCCCCTGTATCTAGTAATTTCATAATTTATTCATTATAAAATTACCAAGTATACTTACTTTGATGGCGGGCCGCTGTCATAGCATGGTGGCTTAGAGAACAGTGGGTACGAGTCACTCAGACCCAAACTCTTCGGTCGACAATCATGTTTTAATCTGTGGGCCCTGTGAGGCCGATCGTACAAGTGATCGGACGTGTGGTACCTCTGCAGTGACCGTAGTTTGGGCTTGCCACTTGGGGGAGTCTGGGTGCACTGGTCGCGGCTAACCGCCTCCTCTACGCTAGTAATGAAACTAGCCTCTGATATCTGGAACAATAGGTAGGTAATAATAATAATAATCTGTATTTGTCTCAAATAACCATTACAATTGCTGCTTATAATAAAATTTAGACAAAACGGTATATAATTCAGTACACAATTAAATAGTAAACAGTTTAATTTAAAATCATACTTAGTAACTCATATTAAGTGTCATTTAATTGTTTTTCATATAGAACACTAGCTGTGCCCTTGGTTTGACCCGTGTGAAATTTATAGCCTATGTGTTATTCTCATGTATAAGTTATATATTTAATGAAGCTTTACAGCTTCATTAAAATCAATCAATTAAAGTAGTTTTTGCTTGAAAGATCATACGTAATGAACATACGTCCGTTTTCCATACACGATCACAAACTTCCGCGTTTATAACATTAGTAAGATGTAAGATTTCAGCTATTGATATTATACATACCTACTAAGTACGATGTAGTTTATTTATCTATAAAATTAAATGCTTACTCCTAAAATCTTACCGTAAAATTATTATAATTTAATATTAATCACGAAAAAAAACTTAAGGAAAATATGTTATAGATTACGTTACTTTTTTACATATTTTCTATTAATTATTGTTGTATAAAACAGCGTCGGGATTACAGAAGCCATTTCTAGTAATATACCATAGAAGCTGGTAGCCCTCCGCGCGATTTCGCCTTCGCTCTTTGTGAATTTGTGGTAAATTCGCGAGTGGAGGATAATAGGATTAACAAGAATTGAAATCAGATCATTCGGTCCATCTAAGTGATTCTATGATCAATTAATTGTGACCTGCCAGCGTAAAGTCTATATATTAACGTAAATAGGCAACTATTATTCCATATTCATCAATTAAACGATAAACAGATTTTATCACGGTAGATTTCATTCGCCACCGTTTTACCCGTTTCAGCCCCCTAACATGCTTTGAGAGTTTATGTTTACGTTGAAGGGTGAGATAGGCAGTGAAATTACCGGGTACGGAGGTATTACATCTTAGTGCCTGGAATGACAATGTATGAGGGGTTTAATAATAATAATAACCTGACGGCCCAACTTTTATATTTATAAAAGACGCAAGTTTCTTGCTGATTCTTCTTATAATGAGACAGCTTTCACAATGAGCGGTAGATTAAAAGAAGGATTACTATAACTATTCAAAAGTGTTTAAATTAAGTTTTTTTTTATATATATATATGATATATTTCTATTCTATTCTTAACCCAAATCGCGATAAAGAGTCATTTACTGGATATATTCATAAACGTATACAAAACAGTGGGCTCAAACGAGCCGTGACATTACGTCGACGCGACTGTGGGAAACGGCTAGAAAACTGTCATTTCATTGATTGCAAGTTGTTTAGCGACGATTATAGTGCGACATTGACATTAGCAATGAAATTACGTGTCCACCGAGCGAGTAATGGAGGTGTCATCGCGTCAACGCTTGCAGGGTGTCTATTTTACATCTTACTTGCATATAGCACATTTAATAACCTTATTAATATTATAAACTCGAAAGTTTGTGAGTATGTATGACATGTGGGCATGTAAGGTGTTGCGATTATCACAACATCGACAGTTGACAAGGCTCTGACTACCCTACCTGGGATTGTAGTCGTAACGGTATATTAGCGTATATTTTTTCTACGAATTTCAAAGCTCTAGAGAAAAGTCATTACTTTTGTACAATATTATTAGACTACCTGGCCGCACAACTTCGTCTGCATCACACTTACATACATGACATTTATCATTATATTTCGCCCAATTTACATATCTACATTTTTTACAAAAAGAGTAACAAACATCCATCCATACTCACAAACATTCGGGTTTCTAATATATATAAATATCTTAATAGATACTTATATAACTTAATATTTTTTAATTAATAGATAGTATTTAGCATTTAGCACACGATTCGCTTGATTTCGACGCTACGTTACGGTAGGCAGTTTGTAGTGAACTGTATATTCGTAAAAACCGCCCAAACCGCCCGTTCACTACACGTGCCGAGCCAGATTCGTGACGGAGTGTCAAATCATGATGTGTGAGATTGTTTTTTTCTCGCAATTTTTATCTTTTGTAACGTAGGAACATATTTGATGGGACATTGCTATGTTTATAATACGTATTAAATAGAATAAAAAAATCTATATTCAAATAAACTTTATGAATTAGTTCATTATTCTGCTGCTCGTTTTATATTCAGCTTAGAAAAATCAGTAAGAAATTTTCCAGATTTTGTGTGAATGCAAACTACAAATTTACAAGAGTTACTTGAGTAGGTAGTATGGTACCACCAAACATAGTGCGTTTCAAGATATGAGTTATTATTTATTTATCCCTTCGTATGATAATATGTAAGTCGATTGTAAACATGGTCTTTCTATAGATATAATAATTAGCTTTAAACTGAACTAATGTTTTCTTATCTAAATACTGTATTTCAGCGGCTTAATCAGTAGTAATAAGCTAATTGAAAACAGATTAGAGATGACAGTTATAGCTACAATTTATATACCTTACTTGTTAAAAAGTAATATTGAGTAGTAAATTTCAGACTCATATAAATGCATGACCTCAAGATCTGTTACTGTCATTTCAACTACATACTTAAAGTAATTATAAGTGTTAAGATATAATTATGTGTATTTAAATGTACTATTGATTATTCATGTCATTAAGAGTCAGTCTGTCTATTATGCTCGTCTTTTTCCAAATAGAGTAATAAAATATACCTATGAAGTGTCTGACAAAGCGGAAAACATCATTACCAATACTAATAAAAACCATGTCAAACACAGTTATTATTGGTTATTACACGTCTGTACATAATATATGCAAATACATTTGTTATTTAGAATGGTAAGTAGGTACCTACATACTTGAGGAGTGGCAATGAATGGGGGTTGCCGTGGGCGATAGAGTATCTAAGTATTTCATTGTCCTGTAGTGTATACAATATTGGTGGGGCACCAGTTAGTATAAGCAAAACTCTGCACTTTCCATCGTAGCTAAAAACCATTTCATACATTGTATTACATTTTTATACCTCTGGAGTGTACTCCGAGTCTAGCCCTTATTAATACTTACGTATTAACTACTGTCTATCTGTTAGTTCATGTAGCATGCAGCTACTTCAAAAGCCATTCTGCGCAAAGAATATAATTGTATAATGATATGAAAAACAACTTAGTAATATGTAGGTACATCAATTTAATGAAATATTAAAAATACAATTCCAATTTTTAAATGTGATCAGAAATGTCAAATTTTTAGAAAAAATATTTAAAACTTCAAGCAACGCTATTAAAATTAAATTAACTTATACAAAACTCGATGTAAATCAAAAAATCTCCCAAGACAATCTTCCTCTTCCGAGTCAACAATATTAGGAAGCTGTGTGTTTCTTAAATTTTTTCAATTCGTCCAATGTCCTATATGTAATTAATTCGTACATTTTACCGCCCGCCCTGTCTGTTTGACATTAACCAGCTTTAATGTTCAGTGTCTGCTACCTATCACATATGATATGTTTCTATAATTACAGAAAATCTTATGTATTGTATTTTAGTCACAATCATTTCATGGGCATTCATTAAAAATTAATTGTACGTCGTCTGAGATGTGTAAAGAATGACTTTTGTTTCGTCTTTCCCGTTGTAAATAAACTATTACTGCTTACTTTACAAATACAGATGTACGACTTTTCTTGCTATGTGTAAATATATACCTACATGATTAAAATATAATAGTAAATTAACTATGTTTTGCAGGCTACCATAATATTTACCATAATGTTTATCGAATCTGTGAGATACGTACGGTACGTATAACTGTCTTCTTAGAGTTCTTAGTTTGAGATACATTACGATACGATTTGAAACGGCTAAGAAATATCTCATATTAGATCCAAGGGATCAGAGTAGGTAAACGAGCAAATGGTTCATGTGATGAAATGTGTTAACCGTAACTATAGATATGAACGGCATAACGGATGGAAAAACCCTCATATGTTGCCATTCCTAAATAGTAACGTTAACTAACGTACCTACTATGTCTACGTCTGTTCCTTATTTTAAGTTATATCCTCTCACTGCCATGGATACATGGACTTCTTAGTTGTTATAACTTAGCACGATAGTGCAAAAACAGCTTAAACCGTCTTTCTATACTTATGAATATGCTTTTTTGGAACAAAACATCTTCAAACGCTATCTATTCCGTGGTCTGAAGCATTGAATTTGTTGAAATATTTGTAATAAGTCATCTGGTTTATCTGTGACTTGTACAAATATAAGTATGTACCTACCACAATAAAATTTATTGTTTGTATATTATGTCTCAACGTTATCACAGACAGCAAATATGGTAGAAGAAAGGAAAAATGTATGTACAGATTACAAACATGACTCTTGTAGTTGTGAAATTCCAGCACAAAAATATTTTACAAACAGTTCACAAGATTGATATTCAGAATATGATTTGGTAAGTCGAAACAAAATGGGATCTACATATCTAACAGAGCGTATTTAATCCCTCACTCATAAAATATTTAATGTGTAATTGTAGCCTCTGACTTTTTTTACATTTATTTTATAATTAAAAATAATTTATTCTTGTAGGACATTTTATCCGCCTACGAACATCAAGTTGTTTGTATTAATATTTGTTTCTCTACCATTTGAAAGATCATACATTTTTTCAATTGATGACTGTGTCCTGTCACCTTTTCATAGAATGGTCAACTACTTATGATATGATCAATTCTATAATTTCACCATGAGATGGTATATAGCGATGCACAATTACTACTAATAATACAGCTAATATTATAAAGTTAAAAGGGTTTGTTTTGTTATTTGAACGCACTAATCTCAGGAACTACCAGTTCGATTTGAAATATTTTTTATGTTCGAACTATTTAGACCGGTATCTAATTCCAATGGTAAATAATGTATGCAAATAATTCCTTCTTTTATTTTTTGTACTCACCGTATC